TAAAATGATAGATTGTGGAAATCAAGATGATTCCATAACTAGAAATAGCAAAACAGAATAAAATGACCACAAGGAGGTGGAAAAGCGTTGAGAGTGGTTGTGAACAAATAAATGGTTAATAAGAATATGCAATAATAGAACATTTTCTCAGTAGAAATATCCAGTCAACGGCACTTTAGTCAGAAAAGCTCCTTGAGTTTTTGATTTGAACGAGGCAGATACATAATTTGCTCACCACTACCACTCTTCCAGATCTTTCTTTGTTCCCCCAGATGTTGTCCTCTATAAATATACCCAATAATATTCGAGAGGTAGACACTGTCTATCAATTCATATATGAAATCTATAATTAAGATGATGGAAAAGTGGAATGGATGAAGGTATCAAACTCACCTGTGAAATGAACGGAAATTATTTCTATTACTCCACTCCGCGCTACAAACAAAACATGTCAAAACCATTTTCACCAAAAAAACTTGCACCACACTCTTCGGTAAGGAATAAGTCACGTTTATTCCTAATTGAATTATCACAATACAATCAATACACACCAGGAATAGTAATTGAAAATTATGAAATATAGAAACTAGAAACGAAAATACCAAGACGCCATTTCTCAAAACTCAATGACGATTGACGTTGACGACAGTGTTGCCAGATGAAAATTTGCCGGAGCAGTAGATGAGTGAGAAAAAAATCAGTAGATCATCAAAACTGAACAGTAGATTTTGATAATCATCACAATTTGCTATTATAATTAATGAAAAAAATATAGAAACCTATATATTGAACGAAAACATGATTATGGTTGATCTCTATACCTATTAAAAATCGAACAAAGGATAACAAAAAATAATAAAATAAGAAATAAAATTTGTATTATCCTCAACCGAACTGAAAATGAAATCTAATTTTTTACTAATCTGACTGAATATGATTATTCCGGTATATTTTTATCATACATCTTCTTACTGTGATGCCTCAATAATTATTCATTGTTACATATTAGGTAGTTATGTCATATTATAACATGACCATTCAGGCCATTGCCTTGAACAGTAGAGCAGTAGAGTGGTAGAACGGAGACAAAAACAGTAGATCTACTGTTAAAATAGTAGGTCTGGCAACGATGGTTGACGAACGCCTCTGGTGGTCGACACTGTTGACAATTGACAATCGATAGAAAATCAATAAAAACCGAATGGGCCAATCAAATTTTGTGTCGGACCTATAGCCAATGAGACTTCGCTTTACCCCTCCAAATTTTGGATCTGAGATCCAGCGCATGTCTGTTAAAATCACAACTAAATGAAAAGGCCTATTCATTACTGCATGGGAGAAACCCTTCAGATTGTTTGCTATTCAGTGACTTGACCACGAATGACATTCCGGAAACGGCAGCCATTTACAACGGGAAGATGAATAATAAAATATGTTCAACATTTTTTGCTTATTGCCCTTGAAACAATCTTTCTGTCATTACGAGTATTGTGATTGTGATCAATCAGAATCGGAAGCGCTATAAGCTGAAATGCGAAAAGCTGTCATCTGTACCAAGCTTTATGTGCATAACTGTCAGTCGTTCAAATCTCAAGGCAGAGATAAGTTACCAGACCTGGTAACTTATCTCTGCTCAAGGTGATCTAAGATTTCAAGGTATTTTGAGGAAGCAAAAGGAGAAAGGAGCCTACTTTTCACCTTGTCATAGATCGACCTTTTTTCTGAAAAGTATATTATTCAAAAAATTGTGATAAACAAGCCAACGCACGATATTTCCAAAGAGGAGAGGTGACTAACCTACTATTCTTTGACATTACTTCTCTCGTCATCTTTTGGTCCATCTGACTTCCACTTTGTAGGGTTATAGTTCAGTGGTTCCACGGCGATGGCTCGTTTTGTTTTCGTTCCGCAGCTCAGCTAAAGTCCGTATGACACGGGCCAGTTTTTCATCCATTTTCTGAATGAGAATTTGTATTCGGAATTTACTGCACCGTGTATTACAGAAACAGAGAGTCTGACTGCAAAATTGGATGAAAAATAGAACATGTCCTATTTTTCATTCATATTATGTTGAAGCGCTTGCGCATAACGCCGTTATTCATCCTTCGAATTGTGTGTTTTGTTTTGAAGTGAGAAACAATTTCTTGGGTTTATGGTGATGTCACTTAGTTGGTATTAATATAAATAATATATCAATAATAATATAAATTACAAATAATATACGTCCAGTCATTAATTTTACTGTTATCTCAAATTTAGATAACATCGGTTATATAATGGTTTGGTCTTCGGAGCATATGTTATTGGTGCCCTAATTGGAGAATACCAAAAGAAACCCTGTTTGTTTGCAATCAAACACCCACAAACGCTCGAGTAGACTCTCTGACATACTTTATACTTTGACAATGAGGAAATGTGGATTGAGTACCTACCACATTTCTGGTGAAATACAGTCTCGCATTTTTGTATCTTCTTTAGTTTATTTTGTCCAGAACAAAAGTGAACTTATCATTATTCATTCTTATGAAATTTGTAGATACATATATAAGATACAGAGCTTCCATAAAGGTGTTCATTTTCTTCAGATTCAGAAGCATAGCACCCATCACTTTTGCAGAACTGCAGACAGATATTTTTCAAGAGAAACTATTACTCAATACCTTTCTTCAATTTTGAATATCTTCTTCCAAAAATATATTTTGGGGTTACTATACTCGCACAACCAGCATGTGCATCGTGCATCTGCATAATTATTATATTATTTCATAACATGCGCATGCCCCTTGTCACAATATCTTGACTGTGATCTTATGGCGAGAATTGACCAGCCCCGGGGTTCATCGCGGGAAAGAGAAGGACGTATAACTCGCTCTCGCTTTCTTGAAGAAGGAGAATTTTTCTTGAGGAAGGAAAATATTGTTTCTGCATAAAAAATGAGAAAACCTAACCTATCTATTTTATGAGTATATCTGTACTTGTTTCGTTGACCTGTGTAAAACTTAATGTTTATTAACACCAAATAAAATATTCTATTCTATTCTAACCTAACCTAACCTAACCGAACCTCACCTCTGGCCTAAACCACAAACATAGAAAACCCCTAAATGAACCTATTTCCCATAGAGAATATTTTTTAGAAATCACTTGAGAACAAGAAAAAAATAAAAAAAAGATGAGCCTCGCACGGATTCGAACCCCGGCCCGCCGGCTTGGCATGCCGATGCTCTGCCTACTGAGCCAACCAGTTGCTTACGAGACGAAGTATGATGAAGTACTGTGCTTCGGCTATGTGCCAAATGCATTCTCGCGAGTGAGAGGGCATTATATGTCCTTCTCTCTCCCGCGATAAACCCCGGGGCTTGTCAATTCTCGCGATCTTATGTCGTGTCACACAGCACATAATTTTCCCATAGAAAATGATTCAGATTATTCTGATTGTTTTATTGTGTTCAATAATGATCCATTTTATGAGTGAAAAACTGGTCCGTGTCATACGGACTTAAGTATCATCTCAGCAGCGAGCTACTAATTGAATGACTGGCAAGAGACGTTTGTTTATATGCCCGATATGAAAATGATAGTGACAGTCTGGAAGGTGACAGCTGTTGCTAGTAGTCGGGATCGGGAAGCGTATATCTACTATTTCCATTTATGGTGCATCGCCTACACGATATCTCAACAAAAATGGGACCAAAATGAAAGGTACTTTTTGAATCTATAAGGACGGAAAGTGAAGGATGGAAACAGCCATACGGCCACGCCATACTGCTTTGACAAGTTTCGAATTATTTTTTCCCTACGTCGGCATCAACGCCTATTGGTCGATTTCGTTACATAAGGCCTGTTCGTTCGTATTGCTGAACTTGCTGAAAGTTTTTTTTTTTTCCATAACGTTCATAACGTGATGTGAACAGAGAAAGTCATAGAAAAAAATTGAGTTCAGCAGGTAGAGCAAGCACAAAAGAACAGGCCTATAGAGACAGAAGTTGGTCCCGCTTTGAGGAAAGCTATGCTTCATATATGAGTAGTAGATATATGGTTTCAGGAGTAGTTGTTGGTTTTATGACCTTGGTTTTATGGTTGTAGTCTGTTCAGTATGGTTCAGTTGTGCATGACAGAGTGGGGTAACTGTACTGAACGCACGAATCCGTTTTGCCTACCCAAGGTTAGATAAAGAGATAAGACTAATCAGTCTACAATCACAGCGATTTGGACAATGGCGGTAACTTCGAATCACTGATATGAGCGGTAATTCGAATAACGAATGTTTTCACATCATAGTGAATAATAGCCAATAATACCCTCAATTGGCGCGGAATCAAGTCTAGTGAAAAAAAAACATCTATGAAATAGCGAATCACTATCGGCTTCAACTCCTCAGTGCCTCCACAGTACTATTTTCTGGGAAAAAGTAAAATATCCCTTCTGCATACATTCTAGACATACTTGGCCTAAATGAACCTTCTTCGCCGTTCTTCCTAAAATGTATATTTTCCGGAGAAGCACTTGCGAAAACAGAATAAATAATAAAGCCGGCCGTCGAAGGGATTGAACTCGGGTTGCCGGCGTGGAATTCGAACGCACGATCAATTGCGCCACGCAGATACTTAAAAATTTTGGTATGAAGAAAGAATTTATTTATTGTGTTATAATGAATTGATCTCCATCATACAGGTAATGGAAAGATATTCTGAATTGAGAAAACCGAATCACGATCCTGAGAAAGAATTCAGTTCGACAAATAGTCACTATCTATAGTCAAACAAGGTGCCAGCACATGGATTATTTGTTGCTTCCTGTCTCTAGACATTTCTCAACACGCAGGCGCTTCTTGGATCATTCTGATTGGTCTATAGGAAACCTTTCATTGGTTTTGGCAAAACAGTTTCGGAGTTTCGTCTCACTCTGCACGGTACGGTGTCTAGGATCGGTGTGCTCTAGACTGAAGAAGCGATTTGTCCTAGTCGCTTACATGATCTAAGGTTTTCACGATCAGTGATTGTCAGTTGTCAACTCTCGCACGTCAGACATTTGTCAAAACTCAAAAGTCTGTATTTACTTTTTGTAGGAGTAGAGTAAATAACGTAACTTGAAATATATTTTATAGGACTTTATTAATAGGGCTGCCCCACCTTCTGCCGATATTTATTGAGAATAATTATATTGAAATGATAGTATTGTTGTTTGTCTGGGAAATGACAAATTAACGTGAGTTCGTATATTTAAAGTATAATTTTATTTCTATGCTTACTAAAAAGGGGTATTATATTGTAGCCACTGCATTTATAGTAGGTAATTTCCCGTTCAGAGTTCATAATGGCTGGAAACGATAGAGTGTCTCTAAATGATGCTTTATCAAATGTAGAAGTACTGGATGAATTGCCTCTACCTGATGAACAGCCTTGCATAGAAGCCCAACCATGTTCTGTAGTTTATCAAGCTAATTTTGATACAAATTTTGAAGACAGAAATGGATTTGTGACAGGAATAGCTAAATACATAGAGGAGGCTACAGTTCATGCCAGTCTGGTTGGTTATAAATTTGATTTAGTCTGTGAACTACCTTCATTATCATTTTATTTTTCAGAATGAACTTTTAGAGGAAGGGCAGGAGCATGCTGTTATGCTTTATACATGGCGCTGTTGCTCTAGAGCTATTCCCCAACCCAAATCCAATGAACAGCCCAACAGAGTTGAAATATATGAAAAAACTGTAGAGGTTCTTGCTCCAGAAGTCAATAAGTTGTTGAATTTCATGTACTTTCAGGTGAGCACTCAACCTGAATTATGAATGTCCCCAACATGTATTGTAGATTGAAATGCACCAAATGAGAAAAATGTATGAAAAAAACATGGTGTTAGGATAGAGAACTTTCATTTCATTTAAGAAGTTATGAATGTTTGTAGCTGATATTAATCCAGCATAAAGTCAGCATGTCTTGAGAACATATTTCATCAGTATCATAATCACAATCTAATGTAGTAACATATTTTCTAGAGAAAAGCAATAGAGAGGTTCTCACAAGAAGTAAAACGCCTATGTCACACAGAAAAGCGTAAAGATTTTGTATCTGAAGCATATTTGTTGACTCTAGGAAAGTTTATAAACATGTTTGCAGTGTTAGATGAACTGAAAAACATGAAATCCAGTGTTAAAAATGACTATTCAACATATCGCAGGTAAGTTTCATCTCTTGAAAATTTTTCCTACTTTTTTTTCTAATGTCATATTAATCTATAGGGCTGCCCAGTTTTTGAAGGTCATGTCTGACTCACAGACTTTACAAGAGTCTCAGAACCTGTCAATGTTTCTAGCTACCCAAAATAAAATTCGTGACACAGTTAAAGAAAACTTGGAAAAAATATCAGGTTATGAAGAATTATTGGCAGATGTTGTTAATATTTGTGTTCATATGTTTGACACAAGAATGTATTTAACACCCAGTGAGAAACATATGTTAGTGAAAGTGATGGGATTTGGATTATTCCTCATGGATAGTGAATTGTGTAATATCAACAAACTAGACACTAAGAAAAAGTTGAGGTTGGACAAAATAGACAGAATTTTCAAAGTAAGTAGTGAATTATTGTCATTGCTGAAACTTTTGCAATTTATGGAATCTATTTGTAGAATTTAGAAGTAGTTCCATTGTTTGGAGACATGCAAATAGCTCCCTTCAATTACATAAAAAGAAGCAAGCATTTTGATGCAAATAAATGGCCTTTGTCTAGTAGCAATACACCATCTCCTCAGGCAGATCTTATGGTCCATTTGCCCCAAATTCGTGAAGATCATGTTAAATATATCAGTGAGTTGTCAAGATACAGTAATGAAGTGACTACTACTTACAAGGAGTGTGGTAGTGACACTGAAAACAAGGAGACAGCAGATTTAGCCCTGAGGGGACTACAGTTACTGTCTGAATGGACCAGTGTTGTAACTGAATTGTATTCCTGGAAATTATTACATCCAACTGATCATCATCAGAATAAAGAATGTCCCAAAGAGGCAGAGGAATATGAAAGGGTACAAGAAAATCTTCAATTCTTCATTAGTTGGAAAATTTATGAAAGTTTTTATCTTATTCCAGGCTACAAGATACAACTATACTGATGAAGAAAAATTTGCCCTTATTGAAGTTATAGCAATGATAAAAGGTTTGCAAGTTTTGATGGCAAGGATGGAAACTGTTTTCACTGATGCAATTAGGCGTAATATATATGCTGAACTACAAGATTTTGTGCAATTAATTTTAAGAGAACCTTTGAGGAAGGCAATCAAAAACAAGAAAGATCTCATAAGAAGGTATTTTACCCATACAGCATCATAGTTATAATAGAAAAATCTTTCTTCTGTGTCTTATATCAACTATGATTTCCAAAAAAATGAAGTGGCCATTGATCTACAAATATTGAGAGGAATGAGAAAAAATCTATATTTTCTAAAGAATAGAATTCTTTTTGACAAAAGCATTTAAATTTGAATCAATATGAAATGAATAGAATAAAAGAAACAGTATAGTCCAGCTCAAAATACAATACACATAGGCAGCACAGCATAATTGACAGAACACTATAGAGTGTTGAAATGATATATTTTTTTTGAGATATCTTCAAGATTATGTCAGAAATTCTTCCAACTTGGACCATGTCTTTGAGTATGTTGATTAGCATTCATCAAAATTGCAAAAATGTACACAGTGGCATTGATAATGAGTTTCACTGCATATAGATATATTTTTCTATCTCTTGGAAATTTCTATGATGTTTGAAGAACATACATACCAAAGAAGGGGAGGGAGAGGAGGTTGGTGCTGGAATTTTTCTCAGCTTTTGGAGGTTATCTTGTCTTCTGATGAATTTTCAGCAAATGACATGAATATGGATTTTTGGAGTGATAATAATTTTTAATGAAAGGTAGCCGAGAGAGAAAAAGACATGGTCCAAATTAGAAAAATTGCTGGCATATTCTCTCAAAGATATCTTGAAAATCCTAAATTGCCCTGATTAACTTCAACATCCTGTAGCTCATCAATGAACTCCTTCTTAAGGGCATATAAGCTGGAATGTCCTTAATTTTTCTCAAAAAACTGGCTCACAATTTTTTTTTTAAATATTGAATCACCCTGTATAAGAAAGAGGATTTTCTGTTTTCAGTTCACATTTTTGTTTCTTTGAAAGTCATAGAAAATTCAATTTCAGCATAATCATGTCTGTAAGAGAAACTTGTGCTGATTGGCCAAGACAATTTGATCCAGTGCAAGACCCAGTTCTGAAAGGTAAAAAAGATCCAGAAACTGGTTTTAATATAAAAGTTCCTAGGCGTAATGTTGGTAAGTATAAAAGTTTACATGAATTGTACAGGCATGGAAAATACCCAATGCTTCATTTGAAGGTCCTTCCTCTACACAATTGTATATGGTACGTACCATGTTGGAATCACTGATTGCTGACAAATCAGGTGGTAAGAGAACTTTAAGGAAGGATATTGATGGTCAGTACTTGATGCAAATTGATCAGTTTCATAAAACATCTTTCTATTGGAATTACCTGTTGAGTTTCAGTGGTTAGTATTTACTTTCTCTGTTTTCCATTTGTATCACTTTCTTATGCATACAAAAAAAAACAGTTTGTCCATATTGTCGGGTAATATTACCTCTTTAGGTGTGTTGTTATTAATGCCTGACGCATTGAATAAATCCATTGTATTTGTGGAAACAGTGTACAGCATATCAGAGATACATATCTTTCCGAAATTTGTGTTCATAAATTTCTTACATAAGGAATAAATAGAATAAGTTTCAATTTTTGGGAAAATATTTCAGTACGTCCAAATTAGCGAGAAATTTGGAAAATAGAATTTGTTTAGAACAAAAAATTGTAGTGTTTAGACGCGTCAAAACGTGAAAAATAAATGTGTCAAATAAACTCTGAAATCTGTACCCCATATTGGTTGTTTACAGAAGTTGAATTTTTCAGTTTTAAAGTTTTTTACGTCAAACGCCATTTTTTTCAAAAGCTATAACGACTTTTTTTTTTTGGTAGAATATCTTCAGAAATGTTGTGATCTATCCCAGTTATGGTACAGAGAATTTTATCTAGAAATGACAATGGGTAGGCGAATCAATGTAAGTTCTATCAATTTGTGGTTTCCTGATTGAGACTCAGTTTATTACTTTTATTTAGAAATGTACTGTTCGGCACCACCACAATGAAGAATGCAGTGATTTGATAACAATGGAAAAAAGAATACAATTCCCAATTGATATGTCAATGCCATGGATTTTGACTGATCACATTCTGAAGACAAAAGAACCCTCTATGATGGAGTAAGTAATATGGCCAGTTTTCAATTAGTTCTTGGAATTATTCCTGTAATTTTTTCTAGATATGTTCTATACCCTCTGGACTTGTACAATGACAGTGCATTATATGCTTTGACAATATTCAGAAAACAGTTTCTGTATGATGAAGTTGAAGCCGAGGTGAATTTATGCTTTGACCAGTTCGTTTATAAGCTGAGTGAACAAATATTTGCCTATTATAAACAATTAGCTGCAAGGTAAAAAACATCCTAAAATAAGTTTCTCTGGATCAATTAACAAATTAACCTCGTTATTTTAGTATATTCCTTGATAAGCGTTTCCGGGTTGAGTGCTCAGCTATTGGTGCTTATTTGTTACCCTATCCGAGAGCTAACCGTTATGAAACTTTGTTGAAACAGAGACATGTGCAATTACTAGGTAGATCTATAGATTTAAACAAGCTGATAACCCAAAGAATAAATGCTGATATGCAGAAATCACTAGATTTAGCTATCAGCAAATTCGAAGCTGGAGACATAACTGGAGTTATTGAATTAGAGGGATTATTACAGGTATTTTTGATTTAACATGATTCGAATATGAGCATTACACTGAGTAACTGTTGGCTGTTATTGCCTAATTTAAGGAGAAACCAATAATGAAGTAGAATGCCATATTTTGCAAATAACGACTTTTGAGTAGGTAGTTGGATTCATGCAGAGGGGACTATTCAGAATCCTCTGATTATTCAACAACAAGAAAGTTGAAATGTTGCATGAATCCATTGCCTATGTGACATTGTCTTCCCAATTATTGACCATTTTCCACTTTAAGGTGAATCGTCTATGTCATAAGTTATTGAGTAAATTGCTGGCGCTAGACGATTTTGATTCCATGTTCAGAGAAGCTAACCACAATGTTCTAGCGCCTTATGGTAGGATAACTCTACACGTTTTCTGGGAACTCAATTATGATTTCTTACCTAACTATGTCTACAATGCTGCTACCAACAGGTAATAAATAGTTGGATGCCCTTTAAAATAATTCAAAGGAAATTTTCAAGCGGCAAACGATGACGTAATCGATGAATATAGGTTAAATTTTGCTGTACGTAATAAATATCCGAACAAGCCCGAACTGAAAATGAAAGTAAAATAAGAATGCATCAACCTTCTGGTGAAAAAATATAAGCAATAAAATAATTTCCATTACCTAAATCAATCACAATCAACAAATGAATTAACAAATACAACGAAAACAGCTCAACAGAATGGTGAAGGCGCCAAAAATATTTGTATTTCATTGGAGTAAAATCTGAGCCCATGACGAGAATAAAAAATACATAATATATATTGGTTTTCCTTAAATTCCACGAAGAAATTACAATCCTTCCACAAAAATGTTGGCTATTTGTTTTTTGAAATATTCACGTTCGAGGTTTTGCTTCATACTTTATGTCCTCGTTTGTTTTAGTTATGAAATCGGCTGAAACGAAACAATATGCAGGCCAATTTTCAGTAATTTCTGTTCTTAAGTAATACAACTGTGTATTTCAGGTTCACTAAATATCGTGGGATAGCATTTGCAGCTGCCGTGTCTCGCGATAGACCACCACAAATGTCGCACCACTATCTTTGGGGCACTAAGCAGTTGAATTTGGCCTACACAACACAGTATAGCCAATATTCAGGTTAGTAATTACTGTACTAAACAGGATCTTGAAGAGGTCATTACTTTAGGCTCAAAACATGTCTTCGAGACTTCCAAAATTAAAAGCAAAGCTTGAAAATTCATTGAAACAGGGTGTTGTTGCAATTACACAACAATTAAGAGAAGAAAAAGAAGAAGAGGAAAGTCTTTATTGTACTAAAATCAAAAAGTCTTTGTTGACAAAGCATGTGATGAGCTATAACTAATATTAAAACTATAGAATCATGTAAAATATGCACATATATATAAGAAACAAAACATTTAGGTATGTAAATAAGAGTGTTCCGAGCACAGATCCTTGTAGGACACCACACTTCACTAATTGAGACTTGGAATTTTCTTTGTTAAGCGAGAATATTTGGGTACGCTCTGATAGGAAATTTATTGTATTCTTCTCGGTGTTTGCTCGGGGTTAGGGTAGTGCAAAGTGAACACTATGTATACCAAATATCAGAAAAATTAATTGGATCGTTTGTTTATGCAAATTTTAGTAAATGAACAACCCTATGTGTCAAATATGTACTACTGTTGTTAATCGATGTAAAATGTATTTTCAAAATCGGAAAAGAAAACTTTTTGTGTGCAATAAATAAATTGGTATTTCATCTTGAAAAATAACTTTGGTAATTTTGCACTTATCATGCGATGGGTTTTTTTCTGAAATTTTTTTTTTGGTACTTACGTATTTTTGTCTGAAAAACACGAATTTGATAATGAAAATGTGAACAAACCATTATTTATTAAGATATTTCACTATAAAGTTACAAATTTCACCTTCTTTTCCGCCTGTCTTTGGATCGCATTTAGAACGATTTGCCCTTCTTTTTCCATCATTGGACAATTTATATATATCACACAATGTTGGACACATTTTTTTTATTATATGAGAACTAGAAATATGATTTTCTTGTGATTTATCCATGTTTAGTGAAAAGAAGGAAGAATATCATTTAAAATAATGGCGTGTGTAATGTCATTCCAAAGCAATCTATTGACATTTGACATCTCGTATTTGGATTGCCTATGGATTAAATGGCCGTCATCATATTTCCTGTTGAATTTTCTAGCTTAAATGTGTCATTGAAGTACATCATGAGTATATAAAGTGTCCAATGACAAAATAAAAGGAGCAAGTACCTGTAATAGCATCCAACACAAGGGGGAAAATAAGGCAAAATTTCGAACTTTTTCTCGAAATATCTTGATAAATAGTGGTTTGTTCACATTCTCATTATCATATTCGTGTTTTTCAGACAAACGTAAGTACCAAAAAAAATTTTCGAAAAAAAACCCATCGCATGATGAGTGCAAAATTACCATAACTTTTTCCCGTCCTCTGTACACGATATGACAAAAAATAGAGAACCTCATTTGAAGAGAAACAACATACCACTCACAATTTTGTTATGAAATTTCGTTGTAAGAAGTAAAACTCCCATCGATGGCGACAATCTCGATAAAATTCGGACTTTCAGGTTTTGTTGGTCCACAACATTTCCACACCATGTGTAAACTTTTGGGCTATCAAGGCATCGCTGTAGTCATGGAAGAACTACTGAAAATCGTTAAGAGCTTGATACAGGGGAGCTTACTGCAATTCACCAAAGCACTCATGGAAGCTATGCCAAAAATTTGCAAACTACCAAGATATGACTATGGTTCACCGGGAGTTTTGGGCTATTATCACGCCCAGCTCAACGATATCGTGCAATATCCAGACGCCAGGACGGAGCTGTTCCACAATTTCAGAGAATTCGGAAATATCATATTGTTCTGTCTGCTCATGGAACAAGCTTTATCGCAGGAGGAAGTATGCGATCTTCTTCAAGCTGCACCATTCCAGAATATTCTTCCAAGACCTTACTGTAAAGGTAATAGAGCGTATTTTCAATGATGAGACATTTCATATTTACGAGTTGGCACGGGTTGGCTACAAATATGTCAACTGTCAATAATATCGCCGGCTTTTTCAGAAATTATGTTAACTTCAATAGTTTTAAGACTGGTGGATTGTTCATTATTGAAAATTGAATCGAAAATAATGTCTTGGACCCTTATTTGTTTTCTAACTAACTATAATTGACAGTTAGAGACGAAAATACATTCATTGTACCAAGAGATCTAGGATGAACAGTGTAGCCCCAATTGTCAGCAGGAGCGAGACAGTACTGTTTCGGCCACCATGCCTTATTAGCCGGTCCTAGTGGTACTAGTGGTACTACAAGTAAACCACACTGCTGACAGACGGCGCTACCTGACTACTCGAGTGGAATGATCCACCAGTCCTATTCATTAAACTAAATCTCATAACTAAGAGATCTAGGATCAACAGAGTTGCCCCAATTGTCAGCAGGAGAAACAGTACTGTCTCGCTCCTGCTGACATTTAGGGCAACTCTGTACAACCTAGATCTCTTAGTTATGAGAAGGACTGGTAGATCATTCCAGAATGGTTCACTTGTATTACCACTTTGGTAAAGTCGTAGACGTAGGGGTCTGCACGTGTTGACTAAAGATGGCAGCATCATACAGTATATGCCGCGTTTGCATGATCCTATCTTAGAACTATGCCACTAGATGGCGATAACATGACTAGATCTTCATGTATTATCCGGATAATACATTCGACACTGAATATGCTGTAGTAGCTACCAACAAATAACATGAAGTGTCTAACCGTTCTCAGGTGATATCACTAACATAACTACTATCTAGACAGCTACATGTCATATCCCAGTAACCCGAAAATCTCATCCTAATTTCTCGCCTGAAAACGCTTCTGCTCAATGCACAGGAACCCTCAAACTGTCGTATATGACATCGAGTCATGTCTTTTGGTGTTCGCAACCATAAGTAGGACGGACCAACTTCGATCACGTAAATGAATGAGCTCTGATCTTATGGCATTAGCAGTATAGTTAGTAATAATTTATGTTGGTCATGTACATATTGAAGAAGGTAATTCCTTGGCCTATATCAGGACTTGATGTTTCTGAAAACATATTTCCTAATCTGATTCGTTTTCAAGGGTGTCAGATTTGATCAAAAATAAGGGTTTATTCAATTACTGAGCAACCGCTGAACAAAAAACGAAAATATTCCAATGCTTTGGTGACACCCTGAGGGCAAACTATGAAAAGCCATTCAGTGTTTTACAACAAAGAACCTCTTGTTGATACTCTATAGGGCGCACCGGTTTATTGGAAAAAGGAAAAACGAGACCAGACTCCAAATTTTGATGTAAATGTTGAGTACTCCATTCAAGACATCCGTTCAGCTTACTGGACAACCATAATATGTAACATTCTGAAATTTTCGTACTCTTTCACTCACATAATAGACTAAATTTTGCCGTCACAAGTAGCTATAGAAGATGAACAGAAGAAGAGTCTATGCATATTTTTAACTTTGACGGCCTGTATTTCGAAAACAAAACGATTCCAGACATACTTTCATAGAAACTTCTCCTAAAGCAAGCAAAGGAATCGCCTTGCACAATATCTACTTAACATTTTGGAACAGCCTCTATGATCAATTGAATAAAACTTTGTTTTGAACTACCAAGATATTCAGCTCTTATTTTACAGAGGGTGAAAAGTTGGAAGCCAAACAAAAACGCTTAGAAGCCAAATATCAAGCTCTCCAAATAGTGCCGAACATCGAGAAATTAGGCACGGCCAAACAGGCCATGATATCGCGTGAGGGCGACTTGCTCACCAGAGAAAGACTTTGCTGTGGACTCTCCATTTTCGAAGTGGTCTTGAACAGGCTGAGGAGTTTCTTGGACGACCCTGTATGGGTGGGGCCTCCACCCACGAATGGGGTCATGAATGTCGATGAGTGCACTGAATTCCATCGTCTGTGGTCCGCCTTACAATTTGTTTATTGCATTCCGGTTAGCGAAAACGAATATACGGTCGAGTGAGTGGAAACCACGTATTTTTTTGTCGATCAGGTTGATTGGAATGTTTTTTTTTTGTAGAGAAATGTTCGGAGAAGGGCTACATTGGGCAGGTTGTACAATGATTGTTTTACTGGGACAACAGAGAAGATTTGAAGCGCTTGATTTCTGCTATCATATATTGAGGGTACAGAGGGTGGATATGAAAGATGAGACTGTCAAAGGAATAGTGAGTATTTTTATCAGAATATCATTCTATTTTGACAAACTATTTACTGAATTAAAGAGCTACTTGTCAGGTATTCTGCCTTCAAGTAGGTCATAATCAGTGACTGTAGAGATTAATGCAACTCAACAAAGCATTTCCAGTCTGTTATTTGTTTCGTTTAATTATTAGTATAACCTGAATTGATAATTTCTTATTTGACAAGGAGGATCACGATAATCATGACAGCCTATTGAAAATTATGGAAGTGTTTTGTGATTATTCAGTTTTCCTACTACTAAGACTTTGTGATAATGATGATATTTTTAGAATCTTAAGAGAATGGTGGATCGCATTAGAAGGTTCCAAGTATTAAACTCGCAGATATTCGCAATACTCAATAAATTTTTGAGATCTGGTGAGAGTGACGAATTATCTGTTGAGCATGTTAGATGTTTTCCACCTCCGATACATCCTACTTTGAATCCTCAGCAACATTATCATGCTCCTGAACATTTGCGGCAGTGCTGAGAGCTTAGGTAGGTATATTGTACATTTTCCATTTCAAGAGAATTATATTCGGAGAATTATTATTTATTAGTTTTTAATGCGTATTTAGAATTTTTATAGACTTGTTGGAATATGTGTATTGACATTTTGTAATCTTTTATAATAATATTTATAATTTATGAATTCACTGTATATGTAAATATATAACATGATCCATGATATTTGTTTAAAGTGAAACGTCATGCTTAAACCCATCATATATTCAACAATAAAATATTACAAAATACATTATGATGAACAAATAAAAATTAACATTAATTAAAATTTAAACATTTCTGAACACTGCTTAAAAAATATAATAAAAAAAGGACGCTTACTAAATAGGTGATAAAATTATGTAAATAATATTTCTTTGCAAAAAACTCTACTGCTGGTCATGTACAAATGTCTTGTCTGTAAATACATTTATAAAAATGTTACACATCGCGAGTACTTATTTTGTGAAACAATATTTTGCATCGATGTTTTGTTTCAATTTTGTAAAGCTTATCCAAAATCATGAGTATTATACCGGGTGACCACAAGAATCGGATTACTCCTCTGCAAGTTTTGAGTCGTCTAACATGAAACATTGAAATTTTCAGAATGAAAACCGACAATATCGCATTCGAAAAATTTGATTGTAAACTTCCCAAAAGGTTCTACCGGGTGGTTAATCATATTGGGCCTGTTTGTTTGTATTGCTGAACTCGCAAAAGTTGATTTTTCCCATAGTTGTCTCTGTTCATTGCATGATGTAAACAATCATAGAAAAAAATCAAGTTCAGCAGGTAGAGCAAGCACAAACGAACAGGACTCTGCTGTATCAAGATATGTGCAGTAGAAATATCTGAAGTTGAGATTACTTCCGACTAAACCGAAAATAATCATGAACCCAAAAATTATATAAATATAAGGTTCCTATGAGCACCCTGGTATCATTAAATAAAAAAATAAAGGCAATGAGTAGTGCAATGGAATGTTCAAAGATTCATGGCCTATCATACAGTGATACAAATTACATACCTACTTTTCATACCAGTTCTCTAACACCTCTCTGACAACTAGACAATATTCCATTGAATATGGCAATTCCACACTTGCAGCTTAGAACAACAATCTTTTTCAGGAGAATGGAAGAACAACATGATCAAATTAATAATTCAGTTTCGGTATGAAAATCAATATAAATGAGTAGTGAGCTTGCATATCCTGTTTGAACTTAGCATCATCAGTCATGAATTGAAATTCTTGCTTCCTATCGCCAGTTATTATTGTCATTAAAAACTAATGTTTCCAATGAAAAACAAAAGCAATAAAAATCTGGTGATAATCTGATAAGCATTGTTATACAGAATACAATATTTGATGATCTATTAATTTGTTGATTCCTTCCACTATGAATAAGTAAAAAGGCACTTAGATAGAATGACGCTGGATTCAAGGATACATTAGTCATGTCTACCCATAACAATTATTTTGTCACCTCATGTCAAAACCCGAAGTGATATGAGGGTTCAATTATTGATAACATGTTTTTTTTTTAATAATCCATCCATAATAAAGGATATCAACAAATTGGAAAATTTTAAACATATACTAGCCCATCCTAAAAACAGTCTGGTAAACTCATTAAAAAAAAAATTAATCTTCCTCCAATTCTGAGCAACATATACCTTGATTTGACCAACTAGGATTTTAACAATAGGACACCAAAAGGTTTTGTAAATATTTAAGCGAAGGAAAAATGGATTGTATCACAAATAAAAACATATAACAGTTATAGTATCGTTTCAAAGATACTTATGAATTAACATGAATTAGATGAAATAAGTTGTGATAACTGAGATTCAATGTTCATTGCTTTCGGATGCTTATCACCAAAACAAATGAGAATATTACACAGGCATACATACAATACATTTTGCCGAAAATACATTGACTCCTGGTGAAATCCATATTTACACTGTATTTCCTCAAAAGCAAAAATAGATATGAATCATTATATTATATAATATATCACATTGTGTGAGTATGGAAGTATCATAACATACATCATGTTCAAAATCATGACATTCACCAAATGAATCAATCCATTTGGACGGATACCTATATGGTAATTTTAGGCATTTACACAGGCCAATAACAATTTATAGTTGAAGAAACATCAACTTGAAGAAACCTCGGAGAATTCATGCCTAGCAGTTATTTAGTATTATCGTCGAAATTTGAAACTAAAAAGTTGAGTATTGAGCATTATTCACAGGCAAATAACCCATATCAAAATGTTCGATTTCAGATCTATAATTTATATCACAGAAAATTCTGTTGAGGATATGAACTGTGTACTGTGAACTTTGAACATGATATATACAAGTCGACTCGTATTCCACAAATGATTACATATTTAACATTTTTTTTAACTCAAGCAAGCTAGTTCGGTATAAGTGTCACTTTGTAAACTCCATTTTAACATTTAATATTGCTTAAGATCAACAAATGCGTAATATTGAATGAACATGAAGGTAGAGAGCAGCTAGATCAGATATATTAATTTTTCTCAGCTGGCTTAGTTTCCAATTTCTCCATATAGCCAAAAATCGAATGGAACACTTTCAATACAATCAAAATAACATGTACTTACAATGAATGAGAACTTTCTTCATGACCAAAGAAATTGAGGACCTCTTATACCATGCAAAATTGAGATAGGAGAAATAAGGTTTGTCTACCTGAAGCAACTTATTTCTACTTGTGGCAATATGAAATTCTGTTTTTGATCGATTTTTCAATTTCAAGTCAAGGAGGTTCAGTAATGAAAACACTAATTCAAGAAGCTCCAATTCGAATCAGCCATAAAACTACAAAAACATACTGCGTAATTGGACCTCGGTTTGTGGAACCGCCAAAGTGAAATATAAACTGAGCAACAAATACAAATGTTCACATTTCTCTTGGTAGTTTTTATAAATTTGGCCCCGGAATAAATCACAAAATGAATAATTGTTTTTGTAAAATCTTTAGATGATTAATCAAAATGGGCACATGGATAGTTATTGAAGACATGCATTGAATGAAATCTCACATCGAGAATGATACTTCAAAGCTGGTACTTAAAAATTGATTTCATTTTGTTGCTCAGTTGTCACTGAAATTTTTTCTGTGTGTTTGGGGCGGTATAATAGGATTCTAATAAGTGAGCTGGGGCTGAACAGCTTCAAAGTCATATTCTTAAGTTGATGTGATTTGATATTGGCTAGCCGTTCACAGTATTTCTGATAATAGATAGAGGCACAATTTGATATCGGCGAAAAACTACTCAACATATTCAATGGTGTAATATTAATAGTAGTAATAGTAGTACTAAGAACATATTCAGATATTTTTTAAGGGCAGAACTACCACAAAATAAATACCAATTTACTTCATCTAAGTACGTCGCTCTATTTTATTGATTTATTCTCGACAGAGAATGAAATATTCAAGTTGGTGTAAGTTGAATATTATTTGTATTTGGACCCCAAACTATTTCCATTGTTTTCATTGAACATGAGGAAGACAAGCAAAATACAAAAACTCCATATTTTTCAATCAAAGAGTAACTGACAAGAAATCAGCAATGAGTGAAAGTTTGTTTCTGTCATCTGTTTACTATCAACACATCCAAAAAAGTGAAACTTTTGTCCATTCACATTAATAATTAACCAATTACTTGGGCTATATAAAATCTAAATGTACAAAAAATTGAAGCAGCTACTGTTTCATGATATTTTCTAATTATTCTAACACCTACAGGGAGATTATTTACTTAGGTGCATAAACTTGAGGACATGCCTATAGATTGTTATAAATAATGACTAATATTTGCTTTTAAGCTGTCCTCATTAAGTACATCTCATAGGTATATTTTTCTTTCATTTAGTCATTATTTATCATGAGCTATGATATCTCAAGTTTATTCATATGAATCACCCAGTACCTATATCATATCTGAATATTTTTTGAGATGGAGGCAATCATGAGCATATCAACAGTGCTCCAACTTTAAGAAGATGACTTCAATTTTAATCGAATTGCGCAGCAGTGAGATTCTAAAACAATAACAATATGATGTTACATTTACTTATCTTGGGCACCATTAAGACTACCGCACGGAGTTCCACTGGACATGCTACGTTGTGGAGTGGGACTTTTACTTCCACTTCCGCTACTCAACGCCATCTTCTGCATTTGCCTTATAACAGTAGTGGCATGATAGGCTTGCTGAAAACAAGACAAATAGGCTACTGAACTGCTATTCAATTTTGCACATTCAACAATTACACTGTAACAAAGAGGGAGAAACTCAAAGTGCTTACCATAATAATTCATAAAAGGCACGAAAATTGTAGATATCAAGAGAGCTAAAGCTTGAAACCGGTCTGTAGGTAATCAAACGTTCCTGAGGAATTTAAGCAAAACTCAGAATTTAGGAAAGAAACACTTGCAACTGTATTCGTCTATACGAATCGTTGCAGATTTCGGGAGGATGTAATTAAATGTCTGCGTGGCATTTAGCCAGGAGAGTAGTTGTTTTTCTCTAATCTATCATTTTTGTTCATTTTATGAACTATTGTGGTAATGACTTTGAGTGTTGCCCCCTTTGTTACCATTTCATTCCACTGAGTATTTTGGCTTTTTCCTAGTCGAATTACACTGTGTTGTTACACGTCTCATGATTCTTCATAGCATTCAAATGTGTTTTTGTTGCAAATTATGAGCAATGATGGAAGTAAGATATGGTGTGCGTATTCGGCCATTATTACGTATTTAAAATTTCAGAAAAATCACTCGACCGGCCTACTATAATTTCTCTACGTCACAACGAGCGAGACGTTGATTCTACATTTCCCTGCTAGATGGTGATGCTGCTATTGCCGCTGTGACGAGTGGAAATAAAATGCCAAATGCCATTTTAGGTACGCAGAACATATGTAGCAGTGGGATTAAACAACTCTGAATTCGAAAAATCTGCGACAATTTCAAAACTGACAGAAGTCATAATTGTGCAATGTCGCCATCTATTAGAAGATCAACGGAACCATACACCATATCTTACTTCCATCATTTTATGAGCCAATGCGCTGTTCAACGTTACGACTCGATTCGAACAGAACGTGCTACCAGTCATACAGAATCCCAAAGTCGCAAATTGTTTTAAAATTGTCGTACGCGAGTATTACCATTCAAAATATCCAGAGTAGTAATCACTAGTCGACCATAGAAGGAAATGCACATTTTCATATCACGTATATCATTGCATTTTATAAGTACCTAATATCGGCGAGACCACGTGCTATGTGAGCAAACATTCGGTAAATATCAGCTGGCGACTCGGCAACTGCGCTCTGCGCTGTCTACCTATGAGATACACGATGTGAATCGATGTAACGTTTCAGTGAATCTCCTCTGGTGTGAGTTAATAACGCCTATACACATCTATCACATGATTGTATGAAGGAAGTATTATCCAACCAAGAGTTTTGTTGTTGTATTCAATTTAACATTGATCAAGATATAATAATAATTCGTATTTATTGATATAAATACAAAAGATACAAAGGGCGGAATTCAGCCGCAAGAGGCTGGCATCATCCTTTAGGAATGCTTCATGATCATGAACTTTAGTCATTGACGGTTTAATCAATGATGAAACATCTGTTCAACTCTCAACTTTGACTCGAGTTTATCCATTTTCGTAGATGATGTATTATTAGGGTTATAAAGTGTACATTGCTAGCAAAATTGAAGCTGAGAGACGCCGCGAAAAAAAATTTGAACATATTCAAGAACATATAAATCGGGGTTTGTAAACATTTTCATTATCAGTGATGAGAAGAAAAATTCTGAGCACTATTTCACTAAGTATCAACAAAACTATAAGTAGCAATTTTTTTCGGATTGTTGAGTGCCGTTGTTATCGGGCCTACCTTCCAGCGAGATTTGGCAAAATTTTTCTTAAGTTGCTCTGACACAGTTCCATGGATGTTCTTATTGCTGGCAGCGTTACCAGATATCCTGTAAATGAGCTTGTTAATACCGAATTAAATCGAATTTTCTAATATGACATACCAAGGATGTCCTAGAGCTTGCCTACAAGTATATCTTCTTTCGACATGAACACACATCAAATGTCTGATGAAATCTTTAGCAGAGTCACTGATCTCGTCCCAATACGGAGAATCAAATTCAAATTCCCCTAGAAAATTAGATGATTATTATCAAGTTTTCTCACCATGCATATTTCAGGTAGCTGTTCTGAGTTACCTTTGAGAATTTGGGCAAATAAATTTGCATCATTCTCGTCATAGAATGGTGGATAACCACATAATAGGATGTAGGATATCACCCCTATACTCCAGACATCTACCGCTTTTCCATATGGTTTCTGTGCAAGAACTTCTGGGGCTGAAAAAAAAAATGTAATTCTCAAATTGCCTCAAACTCAAGGAGCTACGTATAATACAGGGTAGGACAAAAAAATCCTGGAAATGTCAAATATAACAAATTTTGCTTGCCGCATGTTTTCCACTTCTTCGAAAACAGATACTGAAAACTAACATACCTACATATCCAGGTGTTCCACACGCAGTAGCCATTATTCCAGAATCTTCCATTTTTGATAAACCAAAATCACTTATCATAATTTTGCTATCTTCATCTGGACTATAATAAAGTAAGTTCTCGGGCTGAAGAATAAAACAATAACATGTGAGTAGAATGGAAACAAAATGTATCTTATATAAAATGCATATATTCATGATTTTTCAATATAGCACGAGAACTGAAACAAAATATGAAAAACACAACCAGTAACCTCTCTGCTACAACCAAAACATAATAGAAAGGAAGGATATTCTAAAGATCGTGGACCTAGAAGATATTCCTAGGTACCCTTCCGAAATTTGAAGCTATGATAATGACTTAAAAATCATCGATCTAAAGAAAAACTGTTATGAAATAAAATTTCAAACCATGCGGAATCATGAGAAAAGTCATGAACTAACAGTTAGTAGGCGGTGTGCAAATCACTTCAAACGAACTTCTTACTGCAATCTAACTTACACAACCAATACACTAATCATGAATTTGTTCCACTGAGCTGCAAAGGAAAATATTTCAAAAAGGAAAATTGCCCAACCTCAAACTCATTGATAAGAATCAACTATGGTTGTGAGTCGTGAAGTTAATATAGTGTGAGATGTTGCACAGCATGGGGATCTCGGAAACAGGAGGATACGAATTCGGTTGAATGGAAAAACAGTTGAGAGTCATACCAAAATTTCAAAATTGACTTTAGTTTTTCAGTTATATCAAAAAAAGACAATTTATTATTAGAAATACGGAAAAACTGAAAATACTTTTCCATAGCAACTTTTGATGAGATTTAACGTGGTATTATACAAGTTGGTTTGAATGTGTTACGATTCAGTCAAAATTGTAACCATTATTTCCTAAACGAAGACATCCTCTTCTCACAGTTGCTTCTGAGACATTTCTAAGCATTTTTGGGTTAATACTATTGAATGCTTCGATAACAATGACCCTTAGTTCTTCTTAGTTATCAAAATTTTTTTGCGCAAACAAAGATTTCATTAACGTAAGTAATAGATTTTCCATATAACTGAAAAACTATAAAAATTTTTGGGAATCGTCGAAGGCCGTTGGTATGACCCTCAGAATGCGCATCATTTTTCCCATTTAACCGAATTCCATTTCCGACATCCCCATGCTGTGCAACCTTATCTTGGTCACACTGTATACCGGGTGTCCCAACTCTATTTATACAATCATTTTCTCGAAAACGGGTGACATTATCAAAGTTCTGAAAAAACTGGCTCGAATGAGAGAGTGTAGCACAAAAATTAGTCATTAAAACTACCCGTCGATAAACCACCCCTAATTTTTTTATGGCATGTTTGAGTTGCTTATTAGCTTACGAACACAATGACGTAGATATGTCAAATCAACAACTTGATAGCATATCATAATGAATTCTGCCACCATTACCAAAAATCTAAAGACGGAATGAGACGACTGATGTACTAGACATCTGAATCACCAGTTTGGGGAACACTGGATTGGAAATTATGGCCCTATACCATGGCCAGCACAATCCCCAGATTCATCCCCCTTAGATTTTTTTCAGTGGGATCATTTAATTCAAGAAGTGTAAGCCCTGTACGAAGCCTAACAATATCACTGAGCTACAAACCAAACAACATAATTCGTAACATATAATAATAATGATAATGATACTTTATTTTCCAATAAGACAATATTACAAATTGTATAGGAAATTGTCAGAACATAGAACAGAAGAAAAAATACAGAAAATGTAGAAAAGACAATTTAAAGATCAAGACCTATGTCTAGTCTAAAAATTCTGTCAGCGAATAATAACATTTTTGCATCAAAAAACTGTTTAGCGTCTTTTTGAAAAGAGCAAGATGCTCTGCATTCCTTATGTGGTCAGGAAGTTTATTAAAAATTCTACTTCCGATGTGCTCAGGAGATCTCTCTTAGTCTAGCAAATGGTACATGAAATAGAGATCAACCCTGGTGTTATAGTGATGAACATTTTTATTCACTTCAAAAACTGACCTGTTTTTATATATATACAGACATATTTCTGACACATATATAGATACTAACGTTAACACATTAAAATCTTTAAAGAGTGGTTTACAAGATTATGTGGCCGAGACCTTTGCAATACATCGCAATATGCGTTTTTGGGCAATGAATACATCTTGCGCCATGCTTGAACTACCCCAATAACAGACACCATACCTACCATACATGATTTGAAAAAAAAAATGAGGGGTGTATGCATAGGGGTGGTTTATCGAGGGATTATTTTAATAACTAATTTTACATCAGTCGTCTGATTCTGCCTTTAGATTTATTATGATGTTACATGAAATTCCTTATATGATATTTTATTTATTTATTGAAAATCAAATAGGACAATAACAGACGACAGGGTCCAAAATATTATCAACTAAAACAGTGAGTAATATGTTATTGTGAGTTGTTGATTTGATTATTCATGGAGAGTGTAATAAATCATTGTGTTCGTGAGCTAATAAGCTACACAAACATGCCATAATAATATGGGGATGTAATTTGAAAAATAAAAGTTATAGTGGTATGTGCTAAAGGATGGTTTATCGAGGGGTAGTTTTAATGACTAATTTTTGTGCAAAACTCTTTCTCATTTGAGCCAGTTTTTTCATAACATTGATTATGTCACCCGTTCTCGAGAAAATGCGTATATAAATAGAGTTGGGACACCCGGTATATACTCATAAAGAAATTCGAAAGATATAACAGGGTGTTTCAAAATTCAGAATCGATTTTTCATGGACTCATTTTTCAGGTCGAAATGAGACTTTTTTTTCAATAAATATTTGTCCGCAAAGGCTTCGTCACCGATCTATAGAGCGTTAAAGTTTCAAGATTTTTTTTATTTTCCAGCACCATTTCTGAAAAGTCGAGGTTTGTTAGGTTTCTTATTCTTTAGGTAATGTTCGGAAACTTGTAATTTAGATCACAAACTAAATATGTAGTGTTTTTTGTTTTCATTGTGATAATAGGTGCTTCCTTTTTGATAAAATTTTCTATTATTATCTAGCAAATTTTAAAAAATGTCCCGATAACGGTCGCAGATGCGTAAAAATTACAAGAGACAAAAAAGTTTATGAACAAAATAAATAACTCATTTTGTATTTCAAAATCAAATTCAAAATCAGTGGCGCACCATGAAAAAAATAATGCAGCGAGATATGCTTACAATCACTTGACATACTGTATGATGTGAACCCTAAAACGTATGTTCCAAATTTGATCTAAATACTTCCAAAGCTAAGAGAGATATTGAGAAAAAAAGAAAAAAAATCTCGAAATTTTAACACTCTGTAGATCGGTCACGAAGCGTTTGCGGACATATGTTTATAGAAGAAAAATTCTTATTTTGATCTGAAAAATAAGCTCCTGAACTGGATACTGGATTTCGAAACACCCTGTCTACTATATAATTTTATAGATGTACGGAATATGTATACATGATGGAGCATAAATCAGTTCAGCGATTAACAGTGTTGACTGATTGAATTAGGTCAAGAAATATTAACTATAATATTCAAATTGATTACCTAAGTAGTCAAGCTTGATATCTCATATCATGAAATTGTTTTCAGGTAATTGAAGTTATGCCCAGTTGAGCACTTGTAAATCAGCAAACTATCTATTGTCACAATTACTGACCACCTTGGATTCTGGTTATTGTTAAATTATATTCAACTTTTATTAGAAATTTTGGCAGGATCAATTGCGTGAGATTCGGCGACTTGATTTAATGATTTTTTTCAAATCTCGTGGAATTCCAGTAAGGCGATCACCTATCGCACGCCAATATTCAACTTTAACCTTATCGCTTCAGATCCAATAGTTGCGTGAGAAATTATAAAAACAGTTGATAAGTTTGCCTTTCTTTTGCGATTTCTTCAAGGTTGATGGGTGATAGGCATAGTTTCAGTTTCACTACACTTATGCGTCTTCTGGGTTCATTTTTGAACCCACGTGAAATCTGGCAAACGGAAACAATTGAACAGGAGGATTTGTAAGGATCAATAAGTGACTAGGATAAACCAAGAGAAGCTGCATATTTTGATGTTTTACTGACAAAAACTTTTTTTTTTCTTACCTTCAGATCTCTGTGCACCACTCCCTGCACATGCATGTAGTCTACAGCTTCTAAAACCTGTCTTATCAAATCAGCTGCATCCTTTTCTGTGTAAGAACCTTTTTCGACGATCCTATCAAATAATTCACCACCCGTGACCCTGAAAAGATCATTTCGATATTTGCTTCGACGGAAAAATTATCAAAAAGCAGTGTTGTCAGGACTTCTTATTAAAGAAGAAGAATTTATCAAGATATGATTTTTGTGAATCAGTTTCACTACAATAAACTTAATGAAAATGGCAGATAATGTATGTCCACTATCATCATTTTGTTTTTTAGACAATGCTGAACGCAATCCAGAATATATAAATTTCTACTTCTTTATGCTCGTTTTGTCAATTATTATAGTCATTAGCTCCGAGCCTTTTTTTCTCTTTATCATTCAATATTGCACCTACTTTCTAACCATATACATATAAATCCTGTATTCACTCAGAAATCTAGTTAATCTTTAGAAATACATTGTAAAAAAAAACACCATGAAAACGGAACTAAGACACCTTAGACCTTAGTAATGAAGGTATATTGCTTTACTGTTGTCCATTTCCAGGGTATTTCAATATTCAGTATCAAATTTCAGGAACTCATTGTTTAGGACGATAACGATCGCAGATGCGTGAAAATTACAGAAGACAAAAAAAACATAAATAACTCATTTCGTATATCAAAATTTACCAGCGGCGCACCACAAAAAATGTAGGGGGCAAAAAAGTGATTGACCCCTGAAAAAATATCTCTCTGTAGATTCTTACAATCATTCGGCAGATTGGATGATGTAAACCCCTTTAAACCAACTTGTGTTCCAAATATGATTTCAATATACCAAAATCTGAAAGGGCTACGAAGACAAAAAAATTGAAACATTAACGCTCTGTAAGAAAAAAGTATTATTTTGACCTGACAAATAAGCCCCTGGCCAGGCGCGTATACAGCTTTGTCCCAAGGAGGGGTGATTCGTGGCGCGGGGGTAACAGGAAGCAAAAAAGCGCCGCTGGCGAAATTTTTGTTCTTGTTCAAGGTCAAATGCCTTCAAATTGATCGTTAGGTTCACATTCATTTTGTCTTATTCACATGGAAATTTAAATTTCCTGAAGGCAAAAAAGAACAAATTATAAATTTTAAGTTTCCTTCCACTCACAATAATGCTTGAGTGTAATTCGTTGAGACAATTTAATCGCGATATTTCCAGAATTCCGGAGGTTAAATACTTTTCTGACAAAGCAAGTTTACGAAATAATGATCAAACACCATCAAATATTTGTTTACAATTTTGGTTGTCATGCTTTCAAATGTTGAGGTTACATTTTTTCGCTGGAAAAGTTAGTGCAAACTTTTGTCGCTTCATAATGACAAAATCACAGCGGCTTACGGAATTTCATATACATAAATTGAATAATTGTCAAAATAAAAAACGAATCAAAACGATGCAGTTTTCGCATTTTTCAGATTTTCTTCCATCGTCTGGGGAAGCGGGGGGTGATTTACCCCCATTGTCCCCCCTTGTATATGCGCCTGCCCCTGACTGAAATCTTGATACTGAATTATGAAACACCCTCTATTATTTATATACTTTGAACCTTTCACAAATAGATCTGATGCATTTGTTACTCTCTAGGTAGTAGGTAAATGAAATTTACTGTTGATATTATGTTGTGTTCATGAATAATTCATTGTAAATTAAAACTTCCTGATGATACTGAGTACAGCAGTAATAACGGGCTCAATATTATGAACAGAATGAAAGAATAATACTCACAAGGCAGTAATTTTGAATTATTATATGTGAAATAGTGCGGCAGTTATTTAAGATAGATAATTCAATATATTTTATTATATAAGACTGAATCGATGAAATGAGAAAATCCACAATCCCAATCTACTTACAGTTCCATGATGAGATAGACTTTGGATTTATCTTCAAATGTTTCCAATAACTGTACAATATTGGGGTGTCTCAACCTGTAAGAAAATTGTTTTTTTTTTTTCATTGAGTTCAATAACATTTCTCTTTGCCTTTTGGTGGTCAAAATTCACTTCAATTCCTGCAAGAGCAGATCCAGGGGGGGGTCATGGGGGTCATGACCACTCCCCCCTGGGTCCAGGTGGACCGGTGACATTTCTGTGAACTTCCTGCTCAATTAACCTAACAAATGTAATACTGTGTAATATAAATGGATGGTGGCCATACTAATACACGACATATCCGCATAGAAATGGGAAAAACTATGACGTAGGTAACTTATTTACCATAAATATCGAAAATGTAACCCACTGCCACCCCAATGTAATCATTATTTCGAATCTAATTACCCCAAAAGAAGTTTCTTGATACTCTCAACAAAATCACCAAGTTTCAACGAAATTGGAAAGCAGAATTTTAAGTAATTAAGCAAAAAACGATTTTTCATTGAAACTTTGACACCCTGTACTTTTCGACTTAGAATCACCCACATGATCAACCCTTGAAGTTTGGCCACATATTTTAATAACACCCTGTATAGTTTGGAATTCAGATTTTCATTGAGATTTCAAAAATTTTTCCCTTTGAAAAAATTGTCGCGGACGTTATTACTCAAACGTGGATCATCCTCAATATTCAATTTTCCCTTATAAATGTGACAAAATCAGATCAGGAATCGACCTGTTTCCGAAAATTCCTATAGGAAATTTATAGTTTAGCTGAAAATAAATTCATTCAGTACTTTTCGAAAGCACTGTATAATTATTGTGATTTTGAAGCCCGAGACCCGAGGGCTGTTGTTACCGGCATTAAAAAAATGTTTAATCGCCCCCTGAAGATGCTAATGATATAGTTGGCAAAACACGTGATGAAGCGTTTTATTGAGCTTATGTGTTTTTCATATCGCTGCCCCAGAAGAATAATGACGTAACTGCAATTTTTTTCTAAATGAGTTACACCCATCAGCAAGTAGAGAAAAGTCGCCTCTATCTGGAAAAAAATTGTCAGAATTGTAGTAAAATATTTGACCGCTAGATGTAAGTTACGTCGTTATTGAATTCGTGTCATTTGGCGCCATGTTAACGGAAGAAAACCGCCGCAACGGTCAGTTGTGAGAAGTCTTCTGAAGTGAGTGGATGCGCATTATTTTTTTCCGGTGAAAAAACGCCATAAATGCAACTTGCGTATATCAGATGTGATGTTTGATGCATAATTTTGGAGAAATAACGACGTAAGTGTATTTTGTGTCATTGATCTTCCGAAAATTCTTTATGTTAATTGACGTAAGTGTAACTAACATTCCGTGCTACAGTAGAAGAATGACTCAAATGTATTTTGCGTCATGTTTCTGCTTCAATAATAGAGAAATAATGACATAACTATCTCAAGCGTCGTTTTCTCCTCTGAAATAACATCTGGTTCTCACCCTAATTGAACTTTCAGTCTATATTACTTCGGATTATCGAGATTCTAAACGATCTAAGTGTTCTTTCGGACAATTCATCTAAGAACTTGGAAGCTCCCATCTGTTATTTATGTGACATAAAGAAAAATGATAGAAATTATAAATGGAATTTCAACTTTTTCATTATGATTCTTTGTACATGTAGATGATTAAAATAATGTTGTTTGATTCCTCATGGAAGAAAAAGTAGAAGTGATTATCATTGATGCTTTAAAAATATAGATATTGATATCCTCCACTCATTTTAGTATCAACGTGGATTTGTCTACCAGAAAATCATGAGTTATCGAGCGGATAAGATATTCGAAGCACTCGAAGAACAAAACCGAAAATTGCACAAGCATGTTGAAGAACAGGCTAAAACAACACCAGCAAACCGATACGACAAATCATTTGATGCGGAAGTCGTGTTGCTAGGGCCAGATCAAAGAAATAATAATCCTGATCTCAATCAAGAGAATGAATCGAATACTGAGCAACCTGTTCGTGATGATATTTTAGACGGCTCAGATCAACTCAATGATATGCAACATATGACTGAATTTTCATCAGAAACAATCAGCAAACCTGGTGTTAGTAAACTATCATTACAGGATGATAGTACTGAGAGCAATGAAGTTGGGACTAAGCTGTCGTTTCGAAAAATCATAGTATCATCATACAACGAAAATAGCGGTTCATCAGAAGAAGATCCATTCTCCTCAGGTTCAAGCGATAATTATGAACCGTCTAGCGAAAGTGATTCGGATTCCGAAACTGTCGAAAGTCCTGATACACCAGTGCCGGCTGAGGAACCCAAAAGCACTTTTTCACGAGTGCTTATGCCTGCTGAGGAACCGAAAATCGCCGATCCACCAGTGCCGGTTGAGGAACCCGAAAACACTTCCTCACGAGTGCTTATGCCCCCTGTAGAACCCAGAATCGTTGATCCTGCAGTGCCGGCCGAGGAACTCGAGAGAACTAATCCGCAAGTGTCTATGCCTGCTGAAGAACCCAAAATCGCTGATCCACCAGTGCATGTACCTGCTGAGGAACCCGAGTTCCCAGTAAAAGGCAAAAAGCGTGTCAAGAGGGTTGAGACATGGGCCAAAGAAAAGGCAAAGAGACAGAAAAATTCTGGAAAAGAATACCAGTCGAAAAGTGCGGTAATATTGTTCAGGCAAAAAGCATGAAACCACCGTGTCCAGTCAGGTGTGTTCTAAAGTGCGCTGACAAATTTTCAGAAGATTTCAGAAGGAAACTCTTTGAAGATTTTTGAGAATTGGCATGCTTACAGCAACAGCGTGATTTTTTAGGTGCATGTGTTGAGCAACTAGAACTCAGTTATAGAAGAATTTCCGCAGCTTATCCAAGGAAACCAAACTGTGCATTCTATTTACGTAATAACGGTGAGAAAATGAGAGTCTGCAAAACATTCTTATTGAATACATTGGGAGTATCAGAGAGAACTTTGCGAACCGTAATTTCATCAAAATTAAACGGATCTGGAATGATAGTCACAGACAAACGTGGAAAACATTCTAATCATAAAAAACAAGTGACGAGATTTTGAATTCAATCAGAAACCATATTGATAGCATTCCGAGGATTGAAAGTCACTATGTAAGGAGCGATACTTCTCGGCAGTATATAGATGGAGGGCTCTGTATAGCTGAACTACACAGGAACTATTCAGAAGAGAGAACCTATTGTAATAGAGAAGTTGCATCTTACGATACATACGCTAAAGTTTTCAACACGGAATACAATATAGGGTTCTTCTCTCCAAAAAAAGATCAATGTGATCTATGCGAATCATATAAAAACGCGAGCAATGATGAAAGAATCAAATTAGAGGAAAAGTACAACAAACACTCAGAAGAGAAGGATCTTAGTAGGAAAGTTAAAACTGAAGATAAAGAGAAGGCAAAAGAACATGGAGTAATTCTGGCCGTTTATGATTTGCAGGCCGTTCTGCCTGTACCCATGGGCCAAACATCCGCATTTTTTTACAAAAGTCGCCTCAATTGTTATAACTTCACGGTGAGTATGAAATTCTGGAACTGTATATGCCGGTATACGCTAACTGAGTAGTTTCATTTATGTTTTCAGATCACAAACATAGGTAATGACCAAACAAAATCATTTTTCTGGCATGAAGGACTCGGTCACAGAGGAGCAATAGAGATTGGGACTTGTGTTCTGAATTATCTTCAAGAAATATCAGAAAACACACCTGGAATGGATGTGATCTTTTATTCAGACAATTGTGGAGGACAACAAAAAAATAGGTTTGTGAAGTTTTTTCGAATAATGCTTGATCAAAGAAGACTGTGATTCTCTTATTTATTTCAGGTTCCTCATCGGTGCATATTTATATGCAGTAGGACGATTTAATATCAAATCAATAACACATAAATACTTAATTCGCGGTCATACTCAAAATGAAGGAGACGCAATACATAGTGTCATAGAAAGGGCTCTAAAACGAACAAAGAAATCTGGACCCATCTACGTGCCAGACCAGTACATCACAGTCATTCAAAATGCTAGGAAGAAGGGAAACCCAGTCGAAGTTAAAGAAATGGGATATGCAGATTTTGTTGATATAAAATCGTTATACGACGACATGGGTATCAATATCTGTAGAGATATAGATGGTAATGATTTCAAAATCAACGATATTCGAATTATGCAATTTGAAAGAGGTGCTGACGTATTCCGTTTCAAGACAAGCTACAAGCAAGAGGAGTGGAGTTTTGTTTCTTTCAGGCCGAGAAGAAGACGTTCTGAGTTGAAAGATATTGAAACAGTTACCCTCAAACATGCATATTCTGAAAATATAAAAATTTCTGAGAACAAAAGAAAAGATCTCAAATCTCTTATCGAAGCAAATATCATTCCCAAATTTTACAGATATTTTTATGATACAGTTACAAACTGATAACGATACCCTGTTTTTTGTTTTTTATTCACGAATGTTCAGATTTTGAAACATACCTATGATCATTCGAGTATTGTTTTTGTTTCTTGAAGATGTTTGAAAATCCAGAGATAGTTTTAGTTGTTAAAATCACGATTATAGCCTACTTGAGTGCAATTATCGTATCGGAATGACTGGTATGAGTATCTACATGATTAAAAAAATATTCTTGATTTGTTTCGAATGTATTTTAGCAAATTCTAGTTCCTATTCTTGCTGCCAAATGTATTCTTGCTACCAAATGAACAGAATATCTCATTTTAAGTTTATCCTTCTTTATTTTTGTTTTCATCACCAAGAGGAAATACATTGAAGTATTGACCTAACTATCTGATGTTTTTTATTTATTCTGCATGAATAACGACATAACTTCAAATATGCATATCAAATTTCATGATATGAGATTTTTAATAATACTACAATGAAATAAGAAGGTATGCCTCCAAAATACCAGAGATTCAAACATATAAATGGAATGGTTTGTTAGGAAATCGATAAATTGAAATTCGAATTTCGTTTTTTCCTTCTCCTGTGAAATTACCTTTTTTACATTTGCGTCAGTATTCTTCTGGGGCAGCGATATACTTTTGAATTCTGAATGCATAGCAATTTCAAACCGGTATTGATAAATAGTTGACCTGCAACTTTTAATTGGCGGTATAAAACTTGATCACTATAGCAATCAAAGTAAAATCAAGGTACTAAAAAGTGAAGAAAATCTACAGGAAATACTATAATACAGGGTGTTCCAGAAAAAGGTGATCCCCTTGCTACCGTAGGTAGAACACTGCAAAATAAGTTGGGTTTGCTTAGTAAAAAAAAAATCCATCCATCCGTATTGAAAAAAATATTTCTTTACACATTTTTTACGATTATGTCGAAACTTCTAGCAACATTGTGATGAAATGTTGTATGGATATGAGGATATGTTCTGGACGCATTGCATGAATGTGTTTTCATATCTGACTCTCAAAGAGGGCGCTAGTTACACGGTTCGTACCGAGTAATTTTAAACATGCCATTTTTATGTAAAATTGAATGATGTTCAAGTTCACACTAAATTTGAATTGAAAGATCTAACCTCAAAAAAGTTATATTTAAAACTACTCGGTACTAGCGCCCTCTATGAGAGTTAAATATAAAAACACATTCATGCGATGTCAGCTTCCAGAACATATCCATTTAAAATGTTATAACAATGTAGCCAGTAGTTACGACATAATAATACTCATTGAGGTTATTGGGTAATCCCATCCAATGGGTGTTTTGAGGACACCTGCATTAAAATTTGGAATCAAATCAGTTTTTCATCATTTCCTCAGAAACTAAGTGATATACACAAATTCAAGAGGAGACAGGAAAGTCGTATTTTCAATTCTTCTGATAAAAATATGGAACTTGGGAAAAACTATGACGTTGGTAACTTATTTAAAATAAATGTCGAAAAGGTAACCCACTGCGACGCCACTGTAATAATTATTTCGAACCATTCGATGTGTCAGCTGCCGGAACATATTCATATAAAATTTTATTCCAATTTGCCAGTAGTTTCGACATTCGTAATAAATGTGTAAACACATATTTTTTTAAAAACGGATGTTCGCTACGAAATTTTTTTACTAAGCAAACCCACTTCATTTTGCACTGTTCTACCTCCTAGCAAGGAGGTCTTTTTTTGAAACACCCTGAATATACACACAAATATAATTCTATTACAGAATAAGAAATAAAATGAAGGCTACGTGACATGGGGAAATTGGGCCACCCCTGTAACTTCTGCACTCGTAAACGGATCATTCTGAAATTTGGTACAGTTATAGCAACCATTTCCGATTTGATCACACTACAATCCAATATGGGGGACTTCCGGCTTTTCTGGAAATGCCAGCAACTTTGTTTTTTCAAATGAAACACCCTGTATATTTTTACATATTCAAGTTCGACAGGTCAAAACAAGTGCAATCTTAATGTCAAATGTCATTTTTTCGAAAAATTTCAGATTAAAATTGTTGTCTTTATGTTACCTCGTGAATAAATGAGATATGCGGTCAAGGATATTCATAATGAGTCGCAATAACAGAGGAACATATTTTTTTATGAAAAATTATTTATTGTGTCACTCATCGAGGAATCAATTCAGTCACATGGTATTTCGGTGCAGCAACAAATTTTATACATTAAAAAATCAAGAACTAGTTCATGAGTTTCCTTGCAGATCGAAATTCAATTTTTTTGAAAAAATTACATTTCACAGAAATAATGCACTTGTTTTGACCTGTTGAACTTGAATATGTAAAAATATACATGGTGTTCCATTTGAAAAAACAAAGTTGCTGACATATCCAGAAAAACAGGAAATCCGCCATATTGGATTGTGATGTGATCAAACCCGAAATGGTTGCTTATATAACAGTACCAAATTTCAGAAAAATTCGTTCACGAATGCAGATGTTTCAGGGGTGGCACAATACCCTGTGACACCCGGTATAGTTTCAGCCTAACTCGTTCAATTTATATTGATTGATACTATCTATTCTAAAAATAACATAATTTCAACTATTCGAATATGATCTACAGATGCACCAACATAAATGAATGAATGATGAAGTAAAATGTTCTCTGAAAAAATAGAACGAGAAAGTTATTCTGGGCGCCAATGAAAAGACGGAACATAAAATGTAATACTGGGTGTTGTGACATTCAACGAAGATAGTTTTCGAGATCCAGGTTGTTGAAGTTGGACAATAATTATAGTGGCATGGATAAATGGGAATGTCCTTCAAAAATAAAACAGGATGTTTCACTCTACTTAGCATTTTTGACAGATGGACGTCTCAATAATGATGGAATTATATTTAAGTAGATATTCCAATTATCAACACTTTGTTGAAATAAAAAACGAAAACTATAGGATGATAATAATCAATAAAAACTAATAGAGGCTGAACACTATTTATTTTATAACGCAGCAGATTTTCTACTTTGCCAAATGTAATAAAATGCGTAAAACGGATACGATTGAACTAATCATCAAATTTAATGATCATAGAATGCACCAATCACTAGTGATTTATAGGCAATAAAAAACATCCAAGATTTCAATCTGAAATGTTTGATACTTCCTGTATTAGCAAACATCAAATTTAGAAGTCCTCAATGGTCAGTTCAGCACTTATGATGCAGGAAACTTAAGGGATGATTACCCTATAAAACTATATTTATAGGACTTTCGATGGCTTCAGTTGCAGCTGATTTCTAGTAATTTACAATTACTTCAACTGCCTTTCCACCATGAGTATATTTATTCACAACTCACAATAACATTCTCTTTTCATATTTATTCACAACTGCACAACTCATAATAACATTCTCTATTCCCTTGGGAATCATGATTAAACAGTGAGCGTAAATGGAATATGGAACAAATTCGATTTCTCTTGATGAAAATATGAGTTTTAATAGTTGTCTATGTACTTCGTTGATATGTATGTACAGGGTGGCTCGAATTCGAGCCTCATCATTGGGATTTCGTAGACCGTAAGAGATACAGGGTCGGTTGAATTATGGCAGTTGCGCAATTTTATGCCGTTTCGAAACTTGAAAAATTCCTTATACTTACAAAGATTTTTGGAAAAAAAGAATATTCACGAATTAATTTCTATTTTTTCATGACTCTATTTGAATAGATGTAACAAAACAACAAGATGGTGTTATCAGATTTTCAAACTGAAGTTTCGTCTTTGAGCTGCCATCATCAACTTTATTCTTTTCAAATACGGTAGATTTTTTATTATTGATTTCGAGAGCTTTTGATCTCCTAAAATAAACAGTGTATTTGTATTTATTTATATTGTAAAATGTTTACACTCGTCAATATATCTAAAAAAATCGTTAGATAATGAAACGATAGATAAAAAAAAGGAATTAGAATAAATCTCGGAATAAATAACAATGAACATGATCACATTGGTCAAACAAATATATACACTTAGTTATATAAATATCACATTTTAGTATTGAATGAAAGTTTTATAAATTTATATTAAGTCATGTGTCAATAAGGCTATGAATTCCTGAATAGAGTAGAAACATTTTCTGATCAGATATTGTATTAAAATACGCATTAAATTTAATTTTTTCATATCATCAGGTAATTTATTGAAAAAACTCGGACCATAGAAATTGAAACCTTGTTGAAATTTCTGAAGTCTATTTGTAGCAATGACAATATAATTGTTATTTCTCGTATTGTGAGAATGGATATCAGAATTTTGTTTATATTCAGTCAAGTGTTCTTTCACTAAACCAGGCATTGATGAATGTATGTACATACTAGGCAAACTAAGAAAATTATATTCAATAAATAAGTTTTTACAATGTGACCTGGGAGTGTGTATCGCACTTTTAGACGTAAAATTGCGCAGCATTGCCATGATGATTCAACCGACCCTGTATCTCTCACGGTTTACGATATCGCAATGATGAGGCTCTAATTTCCGTCACCCTGTACAATATCGATATTGATCCAGGGGCGTATCAATGATACGGGGCCCCCGGGCTACAGGAGCCAGCTTGTGAAAGCAAAATTTCGTAAAATGTTATCGACAATCTTACTCAAATTATTAGGCCGTATGGTTGGTGACATTAATGCTAGGACTTTTCCAGACTTTGCATAAAGCAATTTCTGGCATGTTGCCGGCTAAACTTAAGCGGGCGCCCCAAAAGTTGACAATACTGGATGTCTCAGATTTCTAGCGACGCGAGTCAGCATCACACACACAGATCAGACATCAGTATAACAGAACGATACTTCGAAGTCAATGCGTACTATTGCTATTTAGATATATTAATTTCTCGAGCCAAACAAAGAATTCAGAGCAGATTTATGTGACCTGAGTGTTACAACCAGGAGAAACTCTTATCGTTTTCAAACGAAAAAAATAAAAAAGGAAGCCGAAAAAATTTTTACTAAATACAGTGAAGATAAGTCAGTTGATCTGTATGAACAATTGATTGCTTTGAACGCATGGTTAAACTATGAAATTCAGAATATTCAAGGAAATCACGGAATTATTACTGATAAAATTCAATAGCCTTGCATCAACTTTACCAGAGGTAATAACAGCAAGCTTCCTATTCTAACCCTTCCGGTTACAACTGCAACAGCTGAAAGAAGCTTTTTGAAATTTGATTTCAACTAGGATTTCAATTGTTTCTCGGCTCGGAGTATTACTTGTTTTCATATATAAGTGATCACTCATAATCAATATATATTATATTTATGTTATTCAGTGCAAGTGTTTTCTTTCATTTCATCTTCACCCTCCATTTGGGTTTCCTTGCAATCGGGTAGAAGCCCCCCCCCCCCCCCCCCCCCCCCGACTGTATTGATCATTTATATTTCAAATAAGTGTGTTATCAGAAATATACTTCATATACTGGTTATTATTCACTCAAGTGGCAAAGAATTAATTTGATAGAAATATTGATCAGTCTAGGAAATGCATGGGAATGAGTGAAAATAATGCTGAGTTTACCTAATCAGCCATGTTAAATCTGATGAGAAAAGGATTAGGTACATTCTCCAGTGGCGGTTCTTCATAGTAGGTATGATAGACAGTTCATGCTGAAAAGTGGATGACTTTTCACTTCATACAAAAATATTCATAAAACATAAATTTGAACCAAAAATATGGATTCTGTTAAGAAACTAAATCAAAGTTACACGGATTTTCGAAAAATGTTGAAATACAAATGAATTGTAATATCTCCATTATTATATAGGGTAATAATTTTAATTTTAGGGGTGCAGTTCTGCTAAAAAAAGAAGTATCTCAAATTCATTCATCTGGAATCTATCCAAAAGAAAGAATAGAGTAATGACTCCCGAAATTTCTTCAACTTTTTGTTGACAATGTTGCCAATCCTCAGATTTTGTCTGAATTTTGGGGTCATTCAGATTGAGGACTTATGAATCAAGTGGTTCAGTCAACATTTCACAAAAAAATAGCTAATTTTTCGCCATTTTTGACATGCTCTAGGAATTGAAATTAGTTTTTAAATTTATAGTAGAATGTGGATTTTATAAGGGTACTCCGATCTCAAGTGGGTCACACTGTATGTATGTACTATCATCTCATGGTTACAAATTGCATACTCCCTCTGGGGAATTGAATGAAACATCACTTACAGAAAAATCCCCTTCAATTCACAAACTCATACTTCTGCACTTGTATGAGGAGTTATTCAGTTTTGAGTGGTGAAAAAATGTATTCTTTGACAACACTTAAAGGTTAACCATCTACCAAAATGAGAAATTTTTTTGCTTGATTTTTGAATCTCATATTCTCTTTTGCATACCTAAATAAAATTGATCAATTTCTGGATGTTCATAATGTTTCATTTAACACTATTTATGACACCCTAGAAGTTGATTCAATCACAATATAAATTTTTATGGTATCAGATGCAAAGAACATGTTGCAATTGGATGGTGTTAGAGCTCTCATTACTAAAGTGACTTCAGTTCATTGCATCTGACTGTACATGTCTGTTGAAAACATAATGGTAATGGTCTGTCACTGACATTTTGATAAAACTGATAGTTTTCAACTGAATATGAAACCATGAATTTATTGATCAGCTAATGAATCCCAAAAATATTTAATTTACTGATATTTTCAAAATGTTAAAAGAAGCAAGTGAGTAACTGAAGTATTGATTCAAAAAAGTGATGCATGAAATGTGAGAAGGAAAAATTTCAGTTGAAATGATATTCAGTTTCATCATTCAAGGAATTGTTTTTCCTAAAATGTAGCACTCATTCCTTGAAGGACAAATGAACAAATATCATGTCAATACATTTCAGAACATGTGTTTCGTAATAATGTGATAAACAATTATATCAAACTATCAAACTGCTTAGTTTCATTTAACATAAACAAACTGGTGTGATAGTTATCACAAACATATTTTGATAAGAAATAACTGGAATACTCACCTACGAAGAACTTTGATTTCATTTTCTAGAGAGTCCTCTTTTCCCTTGAGAGCTTTTTTATCAATTATTTTCACAGCATGCAGAATACCAGGATTTTCCTTACTTTCTGCTAACCTGACTACAGAGAAAGCTCCACTAAAATTCATAAAAGAAGATAAGAAGATTGGAAGAAAATTAATAATTAGTAAACATACGTTCCAAGCAATTCTTTCAAGTAATATTTGTCTTCCAAAGAAGGTTGTTTATCATTATCTTTCCCATCTTTCTTCGTTTTCTTTTCCTTTCCAAATAAGGGCATTTTCTTTATGTTTTCTACAACTGTTCACCCCCTAACATACATTAACACTATTGTTGAACACTTGATATGGATAAAAACATTCCTAAAATATCCTGCGCGCTAATAAAATTCACCTGATGGAAAATGTTTTGTTTTCGTTCTTCCCATATAAATCTCAACGCTTTTGATTTGATGAGTGTGTGATGTGAACAATTCGCCTAGTGCCTCCTGACAGTCCTGTCCTCCTGACAACTTGACAATCTTGACAATTGACATCGAGATCAAATCAAATTCGATTCATTTTGACAAGCTCATAGTTGACGGTTGAAAGTTGAAGTCAACTGGGCAGTGGACATCTATTTGAAACATTTCAAATCATAAAACTTCAAATCGTATGATCGCGTAGAACACCGTGAGAAACAACATAAACTTGCGTCTCGAGCAGGACCATAACATGGGTGTCGGCTTCATTCTGTTCCACTGAACTGTGAACAACTTCTGACTATTAGTTCGAGGTCGGAGTTATGTCGGAGTTAGAGGTTGATAGTGATTCACTGAGTCGAATTTCAATGATATTTTTGTTTCAGAATTTCAGGATTGAGGTCGAAGTCTCTGAGCAATTTCAATGCATAAATAATATATAAAACTACATTCATTACCAGTGAGAATACATTCTAGTCCTAAGACGCCGATTGATCTTAGCTTAGAACAATGAAAATAAAACAAAACGACCCAAAAAAGTGCAATAGAGTCCTTATTGATCACAACCCTTGACATAACTACTATCTAGATCACAAGTGATCATATCCCAGCAACCCGAAAATCTCATTCAAATTGCCCACTTGAAAACGCTGCTGCTCAACGCGGAGGAACTCCCAAAATGATGTTCGATCATGACATCGAGTGATGTTGATGACTGATGAATTCCCAAGAGATGTTCAGAAAGATTGCCATATTTGCTTTCTAAGCCCGCATAACAATTTCTCACTGTTGAATTTGAAACATTATTCAGAATTTCTACCACTCTGAAATACTTCAAGAACCAGTATATTTTGATTGTACCCCAGCCACTACAAGTCACAGATACACAGACCACTAAGCTATCGCTCTACTCGCACTACTCGCAGTTGTCCTAGTTTCATGTGTTGTGGGTGACGTCACTTGACCTCGAAGTTTGAAGATTCGCTGGTCTAACTACGTAGAGAAGCCTCTGGCAGTCTGAACCAGAATGTACATTTGAATCAGACACACCCTGTATGTCTCCTTGTGCATTTTACACTCTTCGAGAAATTTGCTAGATTTTTCACTACTTCTGCTACTGTTAAATTCTTTCGAATCACTAGAGATTTTCGTGAAAATTATATTTTTAGCCTATGTTTAATTTTTTCAAATCCGTCGACTTTCAAAAATAATAGTGCCAGTATATCTGTGTTCAATTCTTCATCTTATATCTTGTATACTATATATCTGTTCCCCCTGTATAATTTCATTATCGGCATTAGTCATAGATAACTCATTTGTTCGGAGATTAATCGGTGACCAGCATGATTCAACCTATATCAGTCATTCATTCGAGAACAGGTGGTGAACCAAGACAGTCTTATATTAGATGTCATCACGTACGGTAGAATTTTGTGTTCGCAATTGAAAAATACGCGAAAGGAATTATTAATCTATCCAAACGGAGTGTTCACTTGAAAATGACTGCAAGTGTAGTGTTTTTGTATCCCTCATTCAATTCAGTGATAACATTATCGCGATCGTGTGCTGTTCTGGTGTTTCGTGTTGTTTCATCGAAGCTTCGCATTTTTCACGTTGGTGAGTGAATAGAGATTCTCTGTTTCTCCTCATATTTCCCTGTTTATATTTAACTTAATTACCTTATATGTTTTCAAAATAAGAAACGTCTTTTCGTTGAATACTTTCAAGATAATAATTCGAAACGAGCAAACCAGAAGAAAATTAGACGATTCGAAATTTTTTCATGCAAAAATACCTTTTTCCTATACAGGGTGTTTCAGATTTGAATGTACATACTAAACTTGTAGATAGAGGAAACTTATATGGATGTGTCTTCCATCTTTTAACCGATCTTTCATAATCAATATAATATACAGGGTATGTCACGACGAGGTTACACTATCTTTATATCGAGAATCAGTCGGGAGAAATCCATGAAAATGTGCATGCTGATATTTCAGAATACGCTCTCTTCGTGTAAAATATTTTCGACAATACAGTGTTGCCGTTTCTAGTAGAAAAGTACTTATTTACGTAGTAGCAACATTGATATTTCAAATGGAATACCCTGTATATTCCATCGCATCTTCAGATTCTGCCTAAAGAGCTGATTTCATCAATGTATTACACTTGGGGTCTATTAAAAATGATTACAGAGATATGGGGTGTTCAAATTCGAGATTTTTCAACTTCAGGATTTTTTGTGTCGAAACTATTCATTATCGGTCAAAACGGCTCACATGTCCATTTCTCAACTTTCGATTCACTATTTACTGATATTTAATCGGAACAGATACAGGGTGGTTCAAGAATTAAAATTCTGATCATCCTTGTATCTGCATGTTCCGATTAAATATCAGTAAATACTAAATCAAAAGTTGAGATAGGGGCATGTGAGCCGTTTTGGCCGATAATGAATAGTTTCGACACAAACAATAAAACCTATAGAGTTGAAAAATCTCGACTTTGAACACCCTATTCCTCTGTAATCATTTCCGATAGACGCCAAGTGTGATGCATCGATGAAATCAGATCTCCAGGGTGAATAAAAATACAGGGTATTCTATTTGGAATAACAAAGTTGGTGCTCCTTTTAGATAGAAGCGGTAACAATGTATTGCTGAAAATATTTTAAATGAAGAGAGCGTATTCTAAAATATGAGCATGCATATTTTCATGAATTTCTCCCGAATGATTCTCGATACACAGATAGTGTAAAAGCTCTTCGTGACATAATACCCTGTATAATAAATCAGACATAATAATCATAATAGACAACATAGTCTGATGTTTTAGTGTTTTCAAGGATTTCTGGAAATCCTATATATGTATAAAGTTTTATGCGTCAATTTAAATGAAAACAAATAACGGATTCAACCTCGGATTCAACTAAATAATGAAATACATATCGTCGTATCTCCAAACTCATAACCCCTGAAGAAATAGAGTAAGCCACTGAATTCTTCGCAAAATTCTCTGTTTTAGACGTAGTATTCGTAGTAACTCAGCACAACCTTATTTCTAATAACTTCGTAAAGAAGCCTGGCAGTCTAAACCAAACTGTACATTTAAATCAGAAATACCCTGTATGTCTCCTTGTGCATTTTACACTCTTCGAGAAATTTGCTAGATTTTTCACTACTTCTGACTGTTAAATTCTTTCAAATCACTAGAGATTTTCGTGAAAATTATATTTTCAGCCTGTGTTTAATTTTTTCTAATCGTTAGACTTTCGAAAATAATAGTGCCAGTATATCCGTGTTCAATTCTTCATCTTATATCTTGTATACTGTATATCTGTTCCCCCTAAATAATTTCATTATCGGCATTAGTCATAGATAACTCATTTCTTCGGAGATTAATCGGTGACCAGCATGATTCAACCTATTAGTCATTCATTCGGGACCAGGTGGCGAATCAAGACAGTCTTATATTAGATGTCATCACGTTCGGTCGAATTTTGTGATCGTAATTGAAAAAGGCGCGGAAAGAATTATTTATCGTTCCAAACGGAGTGTTCACTTGAACATGAGTGCAAGTGTAGTGTTTTTTTATCCCTCATTCAATTCAGTGATTACATTATAGCGATCGTGTGCTGTTCTGGTGTTTCGTGTTGTTTCATCAAATCTTCACATTTTTCACGCTGGTGAGTAGAGAAAAATTCTCTCAAGTTTTCGTCATATTTCCCTCTTCACTTTCAACTTCATTACCTTATATGTTTTCAAAATCACAAAGGTACCGTTAGTTGAACATTTTCCGATGAAGAAATACTTATTTCTTCTGATTTTTGTGCTTTCCGTTCAGAACTATAATTTTTCAGATGCGAAAAGAGCAAACCAGAAGATAATAAGATTCGAAATTTTCATGGAAAAATACCTTTTGCTTATACAGGGTATTTCAGATTCAAATGTACATACTATACCTGCAGGTATAGGAAACTTTGGTGCTTCCAATCACCCCCTATTGATGTGTCTACCATCTTTTATAACTGCGATAAAGAACGTAATATTGAATTTGGCAAAATCTGTAAATCGATATTCAAATCATATTATTCATCAAAACTAAATGGGAATCAAATTTTGAATCCAGAACCGTCTTCAGGAAAAACAGAAAACTTTTTATTTTTCAAAAACAATACTGTAAATCGGAATTTTGTTGATATGTTTTGATATTTTCACTATTTCAAAAAATAATGATAACACAAATGTGATCATGCAGTTATGCCTCGAGTTATGCACAGTGGCTACAAAATAAAGACCATATAAAGATTTTGCCAAAATTATATTTTCAGCCAGTGTTCAATTTTTTTCAAATCGTTAGACTTTCGAAAATAATAGTGCCAGTATATCCGGGTTTAATTCTTCATCTTATATTTTATATACTATATGTATATATCTCTTTTCCTCGTGTAATTTCATCATCATAGTTTTCATTACTCATAGATGAATCATTTGTTAGGAAATTAATCGGTTTTGTGATTGCAATTGAAAAATACGCGAAAGGAATTCTTTATCGTTTTAAATGGAGTGTTCATTTAAAAATAAGTGCAAGTATTGTGTTTTTGTGTTCCTCATTCAATTCAGTGATTACATTATCGTGATCGTGTGCTGTTCTGGTTTTTCGTGTTGTTTGATTAAAGCTTCGCATTTTTCACGCTGGTGAGTAAAGAAAAATTCTCTCAAGTTTTCATCATATTTCCATATTCTCTTTTAACTTCATCACCTTATATGTTTTCACAATCACAAAGGTACCGTTTGTTGAATATTTTACGATGAAGATATACTTTCTTCTGATTTTCGTACTTTCCGTTCAGAACGGTATTTTTTCAGAAGAAAATTCGAGATTATTTCATGAAAACATATTTTTTAGCTATACAAGGTGTTTCTGATTCAAATGTACATACATCGATGTGTCTACCATCTTTTATAACTGTGATACAGAACGTTATCTTGATTATGGCAAAATCTTTCTCTGGTCAGCTCGAAACTTTTGAACCATGGTGTATAATTGATTCTAGTCGATAGGTATATTCAACTCATATTACTCATCAAAACTGAATAGGAATCTGATTTAGAATCTTGATCCGTCTTCAGGGAAAACAGAAAACTTCTTCTTTTTCAAAAACAACCCTCTGTATATCAGAATTTTGTAGATGTGTTTCAATATCTGCAAAGAGCAAGAAAACTTAATGAATTGGCCTACTTTTCAACAGTGTGCATCCAATTTGACTTTTTTTCATCATTATTTTTTTAAATAGAATTTTTGTAGAACTGCTAATATTCTAAATCCAATTTTATCACAAAGAAATAATCAGTCCTCAAAGTTTAACTTCATTAGAGTCAAATCGGGTAAACTCCCGATAGTTTTCAGTCCATAGGACAATTATTGTTAATTAGATATCTATTCGGGTGCTCGTTACATTTTCACTATTTGAAAAATAATGATAACACAAATTTGATTATGTAGCTATGCCTCGGGTTATACACAGAGGTTAAAAAATGAATTAATTAGCAAGAGTTTAGTCTAAATCGGATTCCTCTTCCAGATTAACAACAGACAGAAAGCAAAGTGTTTGATACTTGTCACTAAGTCGGAGAAAACCATCAAGTCAAGACAAACCGAACAAAAGACCCGCAAACAGAACTGACCAGAGTGAATTTTTCAAACTCCTGATCCTTATATTCGTACGGGAGGCGATATATTAATGTCCTGTCCAGATTCATTCTCAAGCAAACAGATACGGTTGTTGGAAATATTATTCAGGTATGTTTCAGATTCAACATCAGTTTTAATTCTCATGGACCTTCTGATATGTGATATGCTTAGTTGCAGATCCGAAAAGCAAAGTGTTTGATACTTGTCAATGAATTGGAGAAAACCATCTAGTCAAGACGGACTGAACAGAAAATTCGCAAAGAGAACTGACCAGATGAGTATACTTTTCAGAATTCTGATCCTTATATTCGTACGGAAGGCGATATATTGAATTCCTCTCCGGATTCTCAAGCAAACAGATAGACAGATATTCACCTTTATGTCTCTATGGAAATACGACAGGTACCCTTACGAGGGGAGAGTATCAACTCGGCGTTTATAAACCCTCTCTGCAAAGGAGGTCGGCGCATGGTGGGTTAGGTATATACAGTGTTTTTCATTGCAGAGAAAATCGTTGTTTATCTGCCTACCTCGTCTGCATTGAGAGAGTTGATGAATTGATGAATAATCATAAAAATATATCGCATTCCAGTTACGAATGTTGAAAATAATATTCAGACTTCATAGATTTATATTCTATGTACGTCTCACGATTCAAATTTCAAATTGATGCTCAGTTTTAGATCCAAGCAGCACACTGTTTGGCATTCATGGTCCTGATTATAACCCACGAAATTCAAAATGTAGCAGATGTCTGCAGGGAAAACCACTATCCGGAAGGAGAGCGAATATGTAGTAATCCAGTTACGGTTGTTGGGAAATATTATTCAGGTATGTTTCAGAATAATATTCAGACTTTAATTCTATGTGTACGTCTCACGATTCAAATTTCACATTGATGCTCAGTTTTAGATCCGAGCAGCATATTGTTTGGCATTCATGTTCCTTATTATAACCCACAAAATTCAAAATGTAGCAGATGTCTACAGGGAAAGCACTATTCGTAGGGAGAGCGAAATATGTAGCAATCCAGTTAACGGTTGTTGGAAATATAATTCAGGTATGTTTCAGATTCAACATCAGTTTCAATTCTCATAAACTTTCTGATATGTGATGTTTAGTTGCAGTGTTGCAGATCCAAAGAGCAAAGTGTTTGATACTTGTCAATAAATTGGAGAAAACCATCCAGTCAAGACGACCGAATAGAAAATCCGCAAAGAGGACTGACCAGAGTATACTTTTCAGAACTCTGATCCTTATATTCGTACGGAAGGCGATATATTGAATTCCTTTCCAGATTCTCAAGCAAACAGATAGACAGATATTCACCTTTATGTCTCTATGGAAACACGACAGGTACCCTTACGAGGGGAGAGTATCAACTCGGCGTTTATAAACCCTCTCTGCAAAGGAGGTCGGCGCATGGTGGGTTAGGTATATACAGTGTTTTTCATTGCAGAGAAAATCGTTGTTTATCTGCCTACCTCGCCTGCATTGAGAGAGTTGATGAATTGATGAAAAATCATAAAAATATATCGCATTTCAGTTACGAATGTTGAAAATAATATTCAGACTTTAATTCTATGTGTACGTCTCACGATTCAAATTTCACATTGATGCTCAGTTTTAGATCCGAGCAGCATATTGTTTGGCATTCATGTTCCTTATTATAACCCACGAAATTCAAAATGTAGCAGATGTCTACAGGGAAAACCACTATTCGGAGGGAGAGAGAAATATGTAGCAATCCAGTTAACGGTTATTGGAAATATAATTCAGGTATGTTTTAGATTCAACATCAGTTTCAATTCTCATAAACTTTCTGATATGTGATGTTTAGTTGCAGATCCGGGAAGCAAAGTGTTTGATACTTGTCAATAAATTGGAAAAAACCATCCAGTCAAGACGGACCAAATAAAAAATCCGCAAAGAGAACTGCCTTGAGTATACTTTTCAGAATGCTGATCCTTATATTCGTACGGAAGGCGATATATTGAATTCCTTTCCAGATTCTCAAGCAAACAGATAGACAGATATTCACCTTTATGTCTCTATGGAAATACGACAGGTACCCTTACGAGGGGAGAGTATCAACTCGGCGTTTATAAACCCTCTCTGCAAAGGAGGTCGGCGCATGGTGGGTTAGGTATATACAGTGTTTTTCATTGCAGAGAAAATCGTTGTTTATCTGCCTACCTCGTCTGCATTGAGAATTGATGAATAATCATAAAAATATATCGCATTCCAGTTACGAATGTTGAAAATAATATTCAGACTTCATAGATTTATATTCTATGTACGTCTCACGATTCAAATTTCAAATTGATGCTCAGTTTTAGATCCAAGCAGCACACTGTTTGGCATTCATTCCTGATTATAACCCACGAAATTCAAAATGTAGCAGATGTCTGCAGGGAAAACCACTATCCGGAAGGAGAGCGAATATGTAGTAATCCAGTTACGGTTGTTGGGAAATATTATTCAGGTATGTTTCAGATTCGACGTCCATGTTCCACCTCTCATGAAAATCACTTTTAATTTTCATGGATAGTTTGATATGTGATGTTTAGTTGCAGATCCGAAAAGCAAAGTGTTTGATCCTTGTCAAAAAATCGGAGAAAACCATCCAGTCAAGACGAACCAAACAGAAGATCCGCAAAGAGAACTGACCAGAGTATACTCTTCAGGATTCAGATCCTTATATTCGTACGGAAGGCGATATATTGATTTCCTTTCCAGATACATTCTGGGAATGAACAGAAACAAGAAAAAACTTATTATATATTATGAATCTCGGTTTTGGTTAAACATTTTGTAGCATTTCGCACTCATTTGCAAGATACTCTGGAAATCTGAATGACAACTCTTCTTCCTTGCTGAAAATTTAAAAAGATGTTAGTATCGAAGGTCCTAAATAAACATTTATAAATACCTAGATATTTGATCTATTGGTTATACAGAATTGTTTAAATCAAGGTAAAATGCTTCTATTCTGCTCATGTGTACAATGATAGGAATCAATAAAATCCTATGCAGGATATCATGAATATTTTCTTAATATAATTCAGAGAAGGCAATTTTATATAGAACCATAAAATACTGACCTGAACATTTTCCCAATGTAATCTTTCTTGCCCACCCTTGTGTATTGCTCCGTTATCACAATAGGTATTTGAAAGAGAAAGGGACATACTTATTTTTTCTAGTCCTAGTTTTTGGAAACTTCATCAGAAACTTACCATGCAAAATATGAACTGTTGATCATTTCAATCATGTTCTTTCAGATGGGCACTACAAATAGTATCAGTCATAATATATATATATATGAATCACAACTTTACCTTCTTTTCATTAATTGGAGCAATGAAAGTGGAAAAAGGTGAAGGAAATAGGAAGTTTTTTCAACGTTTTGTAGTAGGTACATATTTATACATCTAGTTTTCAAATTCACATTCGATGCTCCACGATTATCCATTTCTCCATCCAACTGAACTGATTTTTTTATCTTCAGAAAAGACTTATTGAGTTTACTAGTGCAACCATCAACACAGTTGATTTCTTGGTTTTTGAGTGAAATTTGCTTCATGATTTATTTACAAAATAATGTAGAATTGTGTCGGTATTTAATATGAAGTTCCTGTCCCGTACTCAAGAAAATCATGAAAAGAATCAAAGTAATTAATTGTAGAATGAACTACATGAAATATCAAATAAATGAACAGAATAACAAACAATAACAAAAATGACCTTGAATGTCCTGATAAACTGGTTCAAATGTGCCCACCAGATGACGTATCGGAATCATAAACTTGCAAATAGAGACAGAAGTTGGTCCCGCATTGAGTACAGCTATGATTCATATATGAGTAGTAGATATATAGAATTTTACGATTGGATTATTTGTTGCGCCCTTTCTTTTTGCGTCCTGTCAGTCTCTAGATGCTTCTTTTCAGGTCTCAGGTCAGATTGAATTCGGGCCCAAAGAGGGTGATTGGTGGCGCCATCAACCACAATTTTAGTAATTAATTTGTCAATAGAGCTTTGTCATTAGAAAGTTATTAGAATAATTTCAATAATTTCCTGAAAATGTCTACGAACCAACAAAAAGCACAGCAACTTATTGCTGAAGCAGAAAAGAAAGTTTCATCCAGAGGATTCTTTGGATCGTTATTTGGGTGAGTTACAGATAGAAGAAAGTTTTTCACCTAGGTACTTCATCTATGTTAATAATGAACTATTGTTTCATCTTTCAGTGGTTCCACTCGTATCGAAGATGCAGTGGAATGTTATCAAAGAGCAGCAAACCTTTTCAAAATGGCAAAAAGTTGGGATTCAGCAGGAAGTGCTTTTTGTGAAGCAGCAAACCTTCACTTACGAAGTGGTGCTAGACATGATGCAGCTACAAACTATGTTGATGCTGCAAACTGTTATAAGAAAGCAGATATAAATGGTATGTAATCTACTTCAGGCACATTTTTATAGTCCTAATCATTCTAAAAAGTGATTATCACCCTATTCCACCATGGCAGTATTTTGCATTCTCTTTGAATATCCATAAACTCACTGTGGGCACTGGTTGGCTTCAGAGTTGGTACTAATTTCACTTTGTATGAGACAATGTGCCATTCAAGGTTCCAGCATTGTTGAGACAACTAGTAACAATTCTTCCATAACTTCAACATTTAAAATTTCTTAATACATGTGTACCTACCTACCTTCAATTCAATATAAAGATTTTGATGATAACAGTTTCCTCAAAAGCCCCATCAGTATTTTTTTGTGTCATGAATAATGATAAGTGTACTGACTATAATATACTACTCCCAATATATCTTCAACATATTGAGTAAAGGGCCTCAAAAATATTTCCAAGCTCAGAGCCTTCAGGTTGGTGAAACTAGCCCTGGTTGGTTTATACTATTTCATTTTGTATTATCAGTCTATTTTGTATCCTGCTGTTTTGTATTTTTCACATTCCCTTTGTATGACATAATAAAATCAGACAAAAAACACATTTTCTGGAAGGAAACATCTCTTTCAAGTACCTTTTCCAAAATCTTGAATGTCTATTTTTTGCTTTAAAGATATCAGCTTTTAAAGTCATATAATCTATAGTAAATCACCATGTGCATTCTTACTTGGTGACTCATATCCAAAAAATACTATGAAATTGTCCAGAGGATTTATATTTCAATCTTTTTTTTTTACAGAGGCAGTCAACTGTTTGTTGAAGGCCATAGAGATATACACTGACATGGGTAGGTTTACCATGGCAGCAAAACATCATCAGACCATTGCTGAAATCTATGAGACTGATGCTGTTGACCTAGAAAGGGCAGTACAGCACTATGAACAAGCTGCTGATTATTTCAGAGGGGAGGAAAGTAACTCCTCTGCTAATAAATGCCTTCTGAAAGTTGCCCAGTATGCAGCTCAACTTGAAAATTATGACAAAGCAATACAAATCTACCAAGATGTAGCTTCCTCAGCTTTAGAAAGTTCTCTCTTGAAATACAGCGCCAAAGAATATCTCTTTAGGGCTGCCTTATGCCACTTATGTGTTGATGTATTGAATGCCCAGCATGCTTTAGAACGTTATATCCAAATGTATCCTGCTTTTCAAGATTCTCGTGAGTACAAGCTTGTGACAACCCTGATAGAGCATATTGAAGAACAAAATGTTGAGGGATATACTGATGCAGTGAAAGAATATGATTCTATTTCTCGTTTAGATCAGTGGTATACTACAGTTATGTTACGTATTAAGAAGCAACTAAATGAAAGCCCAGACTTGCGCTGAGTGCCATTTAGGTATTTATGCTTGTTTGTAATGCTAAACTGTTGGAAACATTCACATCTTGTATTATATATCTACTAATAATTCAGTTAATTGTTCAATATGCTCCAAAATATAAGAATTCTGAATGTTCTTTTGGTGATATATCAAGACTTGATAAAGGTGACAAGTCTAATTTCCACAAATTGACAGAATAAGACTCCTGTCTTTTTTATTGAGTAATTATCAATTACTCACTTCTGAGTTGTCAGTTCACTGGCCTTTTTGTTTCCAGATGTGATAATTTTTTATTTTGTGTATATTTTTTTGTTAATATTTGAGTTGGATAAATATATTTATTTTCTATTTATGAGTATGTTGGAGATTCCATAGGATATACAGTGTGTCTCACTTCTAATGGAAGCACCCCTGTATCTTTAGTAATTGTTGAGTTAGGATTCTGAAATTTGAAGCAGCAGATATACCAAAAATACACACTATGACCAAGTGGGGTCATCTTCAGTGATATACACTGCTCCCCAACAGAAATGGAGCCACCCACAAAATGATTTGAAAATTACTTCAAGCCACTAACTACCGTTAAATTCTGTTTCACTTTTCATGGAAGCATCCCCATATATTATGTAGTTATTGAGGTAGGATTCTGAAGTTTGCTGGAGCAAGAAAGAGTCCAAAGATACAGTCAATGAACAACTGAAATTATCATCAGTGATGTACACTGCTCGCCAGTAGCCATGTGGGTAGTTCCATGGCTACTGGTGAGCATTTGTGTAGATCACTATGATGATAATCTCAGGTGGTCATTGACTGTATATTGGGATTATTTCTTCCCCATGCAAATTTCAGAACCCTACCTCAATAATAACATAAGATACAGGGATGCTTCCATGAAAAGTGGGACAAAATTTAATTTTCCATAGCTGAATAGTTAGTGACTTGGACGTTCTGATTTTGAATCTGAATTGATTTTTAATCTATCTTGCCTCCTAATATAATTTTCCGGAAATGTGGGTGGTTCCATGGCTGTTGGCAAGCAGTGTATTTCCTGAAGATGACCCCACTCGATCATAGAGTCTATTTCTCAACAATTACCTAAGATACAGGGCTGTTTCCATTAGAAGTGAGACACTGTATATACATATATATCTTCCATATATAGCATATAATTTACTATGATAGGAAGTGAGTAGCCTATATACCTACTGATTTTGATTAAGTAGAGCTGGTGATATCATAGATTAATATGACATGTTTTCTTGCAATAAAATTGGTGAATAATAGTGAACACATGATAATCTGGTCAAATTTGCAGGCTGTATATATATTGTCAGATGAAATTTTGCAGAATATCTGACGCCCCTTGTATTGCTGCAACTCTTATGTATATCTATGATGAGTATACCAAATGAGAATAAAAAAAAAGCTTTTTTTGAAAGTTCTTTAACATTTTTCAGCTACATTCCAATAATGTTCTTTTTATTTCATTGATATTGGTTGGAAGGAGCATTTATTATATGAAGGCTATGGGCCTCTTGATATTGGCTCTATGAATGATGGAAATTTCCATCATTGCTCTATTTGATAATTTTTATTTCAAATCATGGGTATATTAAAAAAACTAAGAAAATGCGAGTTGTTTATGTACATATAAGAGTTTTTGAAATTATTAGATGCACAATAGTTATTTGTCTCCTGATGATTTAAATTATTGGTATTCAACGAAGCTATCAGTTTATCTCATTCTGCTTTCAATAACAATGAATTTCATAGTTACAACAATGTTTTTTCCCTGTGAGCTTCAAGTATTTGAGTCAGTTTTGTTGACAGCTGGACAATATCAAGGAAGTTTTCCTAGTAAGTTTATGACTGATGTTTCATTATTAAAGAGATTTGTAACATTGCTATCATGAATTAGTGTTAATTAAAATACCTATCTTGAAAATTTATAAATATTCAAATAAGGGTTCAGTCATTACAGTTGAGATAACAATGATTATAAAACAATGGATTTTGAATAAACCTCAAACAACCCCTAATTGTGTGGAAAATTCAAAACTTCTTTTGTTATGGGCATGCAGGGTGTTCCAGAACAAAATTCATATATCCCAGGAGGTGATTGTACTGCTAAGAATATGAAAAGAGTAATTAACAAAAATGATTTCATAGGGCTCTAATTCACCTTTCCTAATCCACCTTTTTCGCACGCCCCTCTATAGTACAATAACAAAAACAATTCCTCACATGAAATTACTTAAATGTTACAAAATTTTCTGATTCTTGTGTGGATTGAAGTAGATCAATAGTAGTGTAAAAACTACTCATTTTGTGTCCTAACTCTTCCATATGGTAGACACTGGAAATATAGAAACATGATTTTCATAGTATTTAGTTCCTTATTTATGTTGTCAGAAACCAACATTATAATGGAATAAATAATTCCTGTACATTTTTTGATGAAATAATGCATCAGTCTGTGACTTCTAGGACACGATGAATTCTAATATCTTAGAAAGGAATTACAAATGATGATATGAATATTATTGTAGCAAGATCGCTCAATGTGTATGTTGAGATGGTTGAGCTTCAGTTGATCACAATATCAAAACGTCACCTGCCATTACATAGACTTTGAAAACTTCTCCTTGAATTTTAGAATGGTGCAATCATAGGTTAATTTTGAATAATTTTCATTCATGAACTCAAATGATGTGTGATTTTTAGTTGGTGATGTGACATTTCATTACTAATATTGAAAATAGAGAGGAAAATAGGTAGTTAGGTAATCACTGGTAATCACCTAATCACTTTGTTGTATATAATTATTATCTCTTAACTGATCAATAAAATTTTAGAATGTATGTTTTTCTATTGTCCAGTTTCTCCACTCATAAGGTTTATGAATTATAAGAATTTATTATTCATACATAAGGAAGGTAATGTATGCTTACCCCCACCCCTTTTTATCGCGTCGGGCATCAAACTTCAGCAGGTGTTTGCTCCCTTGACATATAAATAGCTATTATGGTTTTGGTTTTCAATTTCTGATAATTCAATATATTCAGCTTCAATTTGATGTTGGTGAATGAAAAAGAAATACAATTTCACCTGTTTCAGTTTGGAAAATAATTTGGGGTTTTGTATATAGATAAATTTTTGAATTCTGCTTCTTTCATTTTCCATTAAATTCCAAATTATATGTTGTGGAGAAAACCATTCATTGGAGAGAGGTACTGGAATGAATGCTTATAAATTTCAATTACTCATTTATCAAGAATTAAATAGGAATATGACTGGGTGAAGTTAATTGACAAGCTTTTCTCAGAATTGGGAAATAAACAGGCAGGATCCCATCAAATACTAGGAATCTAATTATGACATCACCACACTAATTGAGATCAATTTACACAAGATTTCCAGGAAATGCCAGATGTAGTATTTATAATAACTACAAAGCTTGAAATGGAATTGAAGAAATATTTATACAATTCTGTAACTATTGTAAATCAAATGCTGAAGTTGTAGGTTCCAATGAAAAGCTGCAATTATCCATCCTTTATATTATATTCTACAAAATAAGCATGACAAATATAAAATTGACACATCACTAGTTTACTAATGAGTAATAGGTATGTATAGAAGACTAGATACACATGTCACATAAATATGTTTAATAGATTTCACTTCACTAAAAGGTACATTAATAAGCATGTGTAGATAAAAATAACCACAAAAAACAAATGGCATACCAATTAGAATTCTACCATTTAAATGAGAACACCTATTTAGATATAGGTGCTCAAAAAATGTGTCTTCATAATTAATAGACCTTGAATGAGAAGCTCATGTTGAACATAATGTACCCATAAATGTTATGTTCAAATCTTCAAATGAAGTTATGTTGAAATCAACTGAAGGCAATGAAATGAATACTGATCTGATGTACATATTGCACATAAAGGGTAACTAAAGATAAATCTTTGGTGATGGTAGAACTAATCATAAATTATAACAAGAAAAAACAAGCTTCTGAGTTCCAGAAAATAATTCACTTACAAAGTGAAAAGCTCACTAAACAAATCATCATAGATTAAATTTATAATATAAATAACACAAAAAAAATTCAGAGAATCTCATATGGTACAATCAAAGGACAAAAAAATATTGAGTTCAATCCATCTCATGGTTAGTTATTAGGTATCAAGTTTCAATGTCAACCTAAATTTTATTTTTGGTTTAGAAATATGTTGGAAGTATCTTCCAATAATCTATCATATTAATTTACATCTTATAAGATTTGGCACTACTCCAGTCATCATATGTATTTAGTGCTTATTTTGACTTGTAAATTCCATAAAAAATATTAAACTGGTAGAATAGTTTATACTTTTATAATACTGATAAGGTTTCTTTGACTTCATGATTCAAATTTTCATGGCACTTATTGAAATGAGCACAAAATATACACTGACTTTTAGTTTACCAGAGGAAGATTGCTTTATCTCAACTGATATCTCTGTAGGGCTTGAAGTTGGTAATATTTGGGTTCCACTACCTTCCAAAAAATCTTCATCATCTGAAGTATTTAATATGCTGTTTGCTTTTTCATTACATAAATCCCAAGAGCAGAAGCAATATTCAACACCATTGGCTTCCTGGCAATCATCAAGTTGATTAGAGTCACATGATCTTGTTTTTTTGGAACCTTCAGTTTTCATGAAACAACCCTTATCTGTTGGACTACATTCTTCAATAAATGTTTCATTGGCAGTGTTAAAATCTTTACAAGAAACTTCTCCATCATCAGAGCAAGCATAACATTTCAAACCTTCTGATATTCTAACTGAAATATGAACATGAGATGAAACAAGATTCATACCGAATTGCAAATACCTACTTGTAATAGAGGGAAACAAAAATATCGTTAGGAAAATACATGCGGGGCTCATGTCTTCTCGTATAGGTCTATCAATGTTGAATCATTGTGGAATGTTCACTTTTTATTCTAATTAAACTGTTGTGTCCACTTCAGTAAATATTAATACAATCATTTAGGTACCAAACACTGATCACAAATATAACATTCCCGAGCAAAATTAGGGACCAATACACTACCCATCATGTCAGTTGCTCTAGAGAGTCTAGTGTCTAGTCGAGTGGGTTGTTTTGTCTGGAAAGTGGAAATTGTTGGATTGATTTGGCATATTATTTGATTCCGGAATCAAAGAAGATAGAACATAAAACTCCTGCCCCCAAATGTGACGCGCTGACAGTCACTGACAAACAATTGACAAATCATATATCTACTACTCATATATGAAGCATAGCTGTCCTCAAAGCGGGATGCTAGTCGTTAATTAAAGAAATCGACCAATAGGCGTTGATTTCGACGTTGGGAAAAAATAATACGACAATATGGCTACTAATTTCAAATTTTCCATCCTTCACTTCCCGTCCTTATAGTATAGTACCTCTCATTTTGGTCCCATTTTTGGCGATGCGCCATATATAGAAATAGTAGATATATGAAATCGACCAATAGGCGTTGATGATGACGACATAGGGAAAAAATAATACGAAACTTGTCAAACCAATATGGTTGTTTCCATCCTTCACTTTCCGTTCTTATTCAAAAAGTATCTCTCATTTTGGTCCCATTTTTGTTGAGATATCGTACAAGCGATGCGCCATATATAGACAGTAGATATATGAAAGGAACCAATGAAAAATTGAAAAATATTTATTTTGACATGGAACGCATAAAATGGGTAAGTTCAACACCAAACTGACGGAAACAGGACGAAATACGGAATGTCTTCGGTTTGACACTATATCACAAAATGCAGCAAAATGTGAACTCCGTGAAACGTAGTGCAGTTAAGTGTTAGGCATATTCGTTTGTGTTTGCTCTACCTACTAAACTTGATTTTTTTCTATTACTTTCTCGGTTAACATTATGCTATAAACAGAGACAACTATAGGAACAAAATCAACTATAGCAAGTTCAGCAACACAAACGAACAGACCTAAGTGCAATGCAGATTTTTGCTTCAATATTGTTCCATGTTCCATCCATAAGGTTGTGGTTCCGACGGTTCCGTCCTGTATGCCCTTCCGTGCTTTGTTCTCGGCTTTGGTGTGCCTTTTGTTCTAAAATTTTCACTCTACGCATGTTCATGAAGAGAGGATATCTTGTTGAACTATCGTATCGTAGGATGAAGTGGTGCGGGGGGGTCACTTGAGATGTCTGTGTTCACTGCGTTTTGTGGGTGTTCATAAAATAATGTTGTGATTACTTTAATTAAAGTTAGGTAATGCGAATAGAAAAATATTGTGCATTTCTATTCGTCCGATACCATAACAATACTGTTGGCTCGGACTACTGCAATTGTAACATGTTTTCACAAGTTCATTTATGTGACATGAAAATGTTTATTTACTATGGTGTACTATAACATTCCATTCATAAAGTATTGTATTACTCATCTTTGATATAACATCATAGAAATCCTAAGGAAGCTGTTTTCGACAAAATATTATAAATGATATCCTGCCATCCTTGGATATATTATACATGTGTAATTTATGCTGTCAAATAATGCATCTATTCAGATGTATTCTTCCAATAAACTTCATGAAATGACAGTGAAAACAAGACCAAAGAATGCATCTAAGAAACCATTCAGAACTTATTCTTGAAGAGATTAAATAGTTATACTTTTATCATAGATTAAATACTGGTAAACATGGAAATGGGGGTGCGTAAATTACCAAAAAAGCGTAAATTCGATCCTTCAGAATTAGAGGAGTGTAACCCCCATGCTGTGTGTATTCCAGTCTCAGTGGTACAGTGTACAAGTGTTATGTCAGCACCTCAGGCCACTGCTGTGGACTATTCCTGTCCCCAAAGAATTTCAACAGATGATGAAGTATTGTATAAACAAATTAACTCCAAACAAAATGTTGTTGATCTCAGTGAATGGTGTGATCATAGAGTCCTAGCAAGGCAAGGCAATTGGTACTATCCTGGTGTAATCAGAGAAGCAAGTGGCTCTAATGTAAGTACACTCATGTCTGTTGATTTTCCAAAGATTTCTCCAAGTTGTAGGCAATGTAAGCTAGATATATTGATAGGACCATGCACATGATTTCAAAAATTATTGTTACAAATTGAAACAGTGAATACAAATGTATGTGTTCTGGTACCTTCCTGATATTTTGATTCTTCCTTTTCAGTATTGGTACCTACTGACCCTTACTAGTAATGTACCTACCCAAATTCATTGATTGTCAAAAATATTTATATATTCAACAGAAACTCAATTGATTCAGTGTTGTTTAGCATGATTATTAAATCATAAATGTAGTCTATATTGTGAGTCAGTTTGAGTTTAGGTAGGTTTTTATACATTTATTTCTTCAAATTCCATCATGAAATTGTTTATATATATATGAAATTGTATATATTTAAAGAATAATTCCTCAAATTAAGTTTCTGTTTCTTCAAGTGATAGATTCATATCAGGATTCATATCATCTGAACTACAATTTTAGAATAAGAATGGATGGTTTTAAACAATGAAATTCCCAGTACATTTCTGGCATGAAAGAAATCATTGCTATGAGAATATATTTTCATTTACCAACATAGCATCATTGTCATAATGTTATATGGGATACCCTGTAAATCATCACAATTTTGAGGGACCCTTCTAAATCCAATGAAAATGAAATCAGGACAGCCTGCCAAGCCATTACACCAACATGTTTTTACAAATTCAGTTTGTTGAAAGTAGAAATATAAATAAAATTCTCCCCAGAATTCTCCTCAGAATTTTCCAACAAATTTTAGTAATACCAAATCTACAGTTTGAAAATTATGCCTGGTAATCTCAATTGGCATATGATGTGGACCATTAACAATTTTTCATCTAATAACTTGTAAACCTATAAAAATTTTACAAAATCTCAGGTGAGATAGTCAATGGATGTATAATAATAATAAATACTTAGTTGTTTAAAAAACTAAAGAAACACCCTTTAATAGGTGCCAAACTAAAAAGAAGTAGAAAATAAAATAATGAAAGTGTGTTGATAAATCCTCAACATGGAAAATATTAGCATCTCAGGAATTAGTACATTGTATGTTGTTTATTTATCAATTGTCTACCTCTTCTATAAATGGTGTTTCTTTAGTTGGTCAAACTACTATTTATTTTCTATTTTTTAGTTCAGCTAACTACAAATACATCTTGAGAAGCGTGTTTTTTTTGTATTCTTATATTCTTTGTAGGTAGGTACCCAATTTTGACGAAAAAATCATAATCTCTTACCCCGACAACCCCCAGATACTAATTTTTAATAGAATCGCATCATGATTACGAAACCCGTCCGCCATATTGTATCCTCTATATTGAATTTTCCAATTTTGACAAACGCATCATAATCTCCGACCCTGAAAACCCCCAGATACCAATTTTGAATAGAATCGGATCATAATTACAAAACTCGCCCGCCATCTTGAATTTACCAATTTTGACGAAAGTATCATAATCTCCGACCCCAAAAACCCTTAGACACCAATTTTGAATTGAATTGGATCATAATTACAAAACTCGTCCGCCATATTGGATCCGCCATCTTGAGCATATCAATGTTGACGAAAGGATCAGAATCTCCGACCTCATATACCAAGTTTGAATATAATCGAATCATAATTACAAAACTCGTCCGCCATTTTGGAGCCGCCATTTTGTTTTTGTGTGTAACAAAAATTCCATGATGCATTGCCACCAGACACCTGCCAAATTTCAAATCAATCTATCCGTTTGAAGTGGTTCAAAATTGAGTCCAAAGGAGTCTGTTACAGTGTTACATACATACAGGTGAAGCTAATAAAAGGGTGTTAATAAGTTAACTTTATTGAGTATAAATACTCAAAAGGCCATCGTCCAAGGTCCTCTAGCCTTCATTCAGGGGCGGATTAACATTCGAAGGCGCCTAAAGCCCATTCATTTTTTTTGGCGCCTCCCTGCCCAATGTTTTTGTTTCAGTTTTATGTAGCAGGACTTTAACAGGTGAAGAAGACATTATTTTAAGATGAAAATCTCATACAAACATTTACAGGGTGTCAAAATTTCAAATTATTTTTATGTTTTTTGAATTTTCTCCTACAATTTTCGGGCTAATTGATTGAAATTTGGTACACCTAATACACTTCAAAAACTCAATATTTGAGGCTATTGAGCGTTTTTGAATACCTACAGGGTGATAGACTTTCAGTAAATGTTTAAGAAATGTCAAGAAAGTGTGTTTGAGAAATAACGGTTTTATTACAAGTAATTTAATTTTGGCATTTATCTCGAGATCCATACAGCTTTCGAAAAATTTACATAGGGGCAAAAAGTTTTCAAATTGCAGAGACAATCTGAATCTATGTCCCATTGAAAGCAGAGGCGGCAAGCAAAAAAGTTCTACAGTTAAATTGGGTACGACTCCTGAAAGTCTATCACCCTGTAGGTATTCAAAAACGATCAATAGCCTCAAATATTGAGTTTTTGAAGTGTATTAGGTGTTCCAAATTTCAATCAATTATTCTGAAAATTGTAGGAGAAAATCCAAAATACATAAAAAAAAAATCTGAAACTTTTGACACCCTGTGAATCGGAAACGAAGCTCCCACGCATATATGTTTGTTTGAGATTTTCATCTTGAAAAAATGTCTTCTTCAAGCTGTTGAAGTACTGCTACAAAAAACTGAAACACCCTGTATATAAGGAAACTTTTTTAATCGACACACAAAGCTGACGACAGTGTTATGAGTATTTTATTTGAAATTATATCAGACACTGAAAAATTGTTGTTCAACAACCTTATAAAACTACCTACAAACTGTAACTTCTAAATTTTTGAGCAGGTCTGATTCTATTGTCATTGAGGCAAAGTCGCTCAGTTTGGAATCCAATAACTTCGACCTGAAATAATTTCTAATTGAGTGTCGAGAAAGATCTTTCTCCTTGAACATTTAGAAACTGCTTTAGATATAAACAGTCTCAATGCTTTTTGAAGTAAATGCTCATGTTGTTCTGCCTTATTTGAAGCTTTTTTTTTTCGATATTAAGTGCCACTTAATTGTTTATTTAAGCCGCTCATGACGAAAACACGAAAAAACACAATATTATCACAGCAAATCTAATACAATGATATCTGCAAATATATAACAGAGCGAAGTGCAAAAATGCAATATTTCTGTGGCCTGGTATTCCCCGAATAGATGTCTCGATGTAGCGTTGCCAACCAATGTTGAGTTATGAGTACCATAGTTTAAAGTACCCACAGAAGAAAATATATAATTTAATATCTGATCCAATTAATTTTTTGGAATTGAAAAGTATTTGGAATTTTTTGCGCCCTCTGGGATTTAGCGCTACAAGCCCTGGCTTTGCGGGCTTGTACTATAATCCGCCCCTGGCTTCACTAATAGAAATACCTATGAAAATCTTGCCAATGGCACTTCTAATAAAAGTTCTATCAATTCCCAGATTAATTCTTTTTGATTTGTATTTTCCTATAGTGTTAAACTGCACTAACATGACGTAATCTATGCACATTTGTTATCTCGATATTGTGCCAATAAAACGAAATTTCACAACAAATCCATTTAACATTGAGAATTTGGAACAATCGAAAAAAACTGGTGGTCCTCAGATATACAATATCAAGTGAAATACCAGATGCCCAAGATCTCTTTGCCTTCTCACTTTTTCGTTCCTGAAGTTATCAAAATTAAATTTGGGGATACGAAATTCTATTTTTTTGCAGACACAACTTTTTTCACTCGGTTTAGCCGGAAACGATTTGAGCTTCTGATTTTCGAATGAGACCATCTGTATTCAATTGATTTTTTGGGTTAGAAATCAGAATGGCATTCTGAATGCAATAATATATTAATATATCAGATGTCCGAGAGAGATAGCAGGCCCCTCCAACACTTTTGTTTTTTAATTTAGCAAAATTAAATTGGGGGATATGAAATTGTAATTTTTAACAGATGACACATACATACGAAAATAATTTCAACTTCTGATTTTCAAATGGAACAACCTCACTTTTTTTATGTTTCGGATCAGCATGGCTTTCTGAATGCAACAATAGATGTAATATACCGGATGTTTGAGAGAGACGCTCGCCCCTCCAACACTTTCGTTTTTGAAGTTAGCAAAATTACATTTTCTGACATAAAATTGGAATTTTGCACTTATCATGCGATGGTGTTTTTTTTTCGATTTTTTTTTGTTCTTACGGATTTTTGTCTGAAAAACACGAATTTGATTATGAAAATGTGAACAAACCATCATTTATTGAGATATTTCACTATAAAGTTACACAAATTTCACCTTCTTTCCCGCCTGTCTTTTGGATGGCATTTAGAAGAAAATTGTCCTTCTTTTTTCATCATTGGACAATTTATATATTACAATGTACTTCAATGACACATTTTTTCATGTATGAAAGATTTATCCATATTTAGTGAAAAGAAGGAAGAATATCATTTGAAATAATGGCGTGTGTAACGTCATTCGAAAGCAATCTGTTGACATTTGACATCTCGTATTTGGATTGATTATTGATTAAATGGCCGTCATGTATGATTGTTCACTGAATATGATAAACTCGCCATAAAAGTCATATTTCGTATTGAGTTTTCTTTATAAAAATGTGCCATTGAAGTATGTATGTCATGAGTATATTAAGTGTCCAATGACAAAATAAGAAGAGCAAGTAGCCGTAAATGGAGGGGGAAAAAAGACGGCGAAATTTCTAACTTTTTCTTGAAATATCTCGATAAATAGTGGTTTGTTCATATTTTCATTATCAAATTCGTGTTTTTCAGATAAAAATACGTAGGTAACAAAAAAATTTTCCGAAAAAAAAACAGCACATGATAAGTAATGGATTATCGTGAGTAAAAATGACATTATGAATGCAATTATCTGTCATTTGTCAGTAATGTCACTTTTTTTAATGATTTTTAGTGATTTTACTTCCTGACTTTCAATTTTCTTGGTATATAAAGGAGGGAAATGTAACAAATCTCATTATGTAGTCACCCCCTATACATTTTTGAAGCGATTCCAGATAATGAAATAACACTGATATTTTGATTTTGTAACCTAATCCAAATAACATTACCTATCCGAGGTTGTTACAAATGTAGCTTCTGAAGAAATAAATGTTTTTTGGGGATTACAAAATTCTTTATCATCTAATACTAGCTGTCCGGCCCGGCTTCGCACCTTTGGTGTACCCATTTAAAAAAAATAAATCATTTGTTGCAGTCGTTCTGAGCTATTGGGCGTATCTACAGTAAAATTTTTTTTTATTTTTTTTATTTTTGTGCGTACCAATAACTACTATTATACAGGGTGTTCCTGAAAGACATGTTAATATTAAGGAGGTGATTATTTGACTCATTTTAAGAAGAAAACTTTATATGAACGTATGTCCTAAATGTCTCAACTTTTGAGATACAGGGTGATGAAGCTTTGAAAAATATTCGGTTTTTTGATAATAACTGAGAAAATATTGTACACATCTTCATGAAATTTGGTACGCGTCTTTAATGCATCAAGATGCATTTTCTGACGTACAAAAATTTTCATTTTCTCTACCAGTGGCACCGTTACGGGAATATTATTGTGTATTTTTTACTTAGAAGTGAGCAACGACCTCGGCAACGACGGAAAAATTTCAAATTTTGTATAATGCAATGAAAGACTAATCAATTATGTACAAAAAGATTCTCTTATTAATACTCGATAGTACGCTCCGTTTTAGAGAAAAAACGAGAAAACGAGACCAGACATTAAATTTTGATGTCTTGAGTACTCCATTCAGGACATCCATTGCTGGATAGCCACAGTATGTAACATTTTGAAATTTCCATACCGATTCAGTCACATATCAGACTGAATTTTGCCATCACGAAAAGATACAGAGTAAACAAAAAAAGAATCTATGCATATTTTCAACATTGACACCCTGTATCTCAAAAGTTAGGACGCTTACGAGATACGTTCATATGAAGTTTAATTCTTGAAATGGGTCGAATAATCGGGTATTATTTAGTAATTGACAGCAGCGCCTCCTATCGCCTCCAATTTTATTTTTAAATCATCCAGTCTACTTATTTCCATCATTCGGGAAACCATCGAAATACCCATATAAAATTTCAACCCAATCGGTTCAGCCGTTTAGATGTTATCTGAAAAAGATAAGTAGGGAAGGATAATAATTCTTACTACCTGTTGTCCTATTACCCGTTTTCCGTAGGATTGCAGCATTTTCCCGCGGTAAAAAGTAGCCCATGTTCATAAGGGATAATGTCGGCTTCTAATGGTAAAAGAATATTTCAAATCGGTCCAATACTTTCGGAAACTATTCAATAAAAACAAACAAACTGACAAACAAACAAATCTTTTTCCTTCATAATACAGTGTGTCCCACTTACCATGCTCACCATGGGTATCTTTTCAACGGTGAGAGATACGAGGTCGGTTAAATGACACCAAATGTGGAGTTTGTCAAGGCCAACTATAATGTGAAAAAATATTTTGATAAAATCTATTCGTTTTTGTTTTATACGCAAAAAACAGATTTTGATCATTTTCATGTCTCCTCCGTAACTTCTTTATTCATGAAAATATTCAAATAGAAATTTCACATTCTCATGGCAGTTTTTCGAAGTGATTTCGAAAAAAATATGAAATTTATACCAACTCTTCTAGAATTCGAAATATCAGCACCAACTTTAGTTCTTCTAATGTAGGTCATAGCTCACTATGACTTAGTTACAAATAACTTTTTTTTCTCTTACAGATGATATGTCGCAGTAATAGTTTTGTGTTGATAACGACGGAGTTATCGTCATTTATACAAAAACAAAAAATTATTCGGAAGCCGCCATCTTGAATTCATGAATTTTAACAAAAAAATCATGTTCTCCTACCTCAAAAACCACCACTTACCAATTTTGAATGGAATCGGACCAAATCTTGTCCGCCATCTTGGAGCAGCCATTTTTTTTAATTTCAACAAAAATTCCATAATGTATTGTCACCGAAATTATGAACACCTGCCAAATTCCAAGTTAATCGGAGTTATGGAATTTTTGTTGAAATTAAAAAAAATGGTTGCTCCAAGATGGCGGACAAGATTTGGTCCGAATCCATTCAAAATTGATAATTAAGGGTTTTTGAGGTCGGAGATCATGATTTTTTGTTAAAATTAATAAATTCAAGATGGCGGCTTCCAAATAATTGTTTGTTTTTGTATAAATGACGATAACTCCGTTGTGATCATCACAAAACTATTACTGCGACATATCATCTGTAAGTGAAAAAGAAGTTATTCATAACTAAGTCATAGTGAGCTATGCCCTACATTTGAAAAACTAAAGTTGCTGCTGATATGTCAAATTCTAGAAGAGTTGGTTTGAATTTCATATTTTTTTCGAAATCACTTTGAAAAACTGCCATGAGAATGTGAAATTCCTATTTGACTATTTTCCTAAATAAAGAAGTTACGGAGGAGACAAGAAAATGATCAAAATCTGTTTTTTGCGTATAAAACAAAAACGAACAGATTTTATCAAAATATTTTTTCACATTATAGTTGGCCTTGACAAACTCCACATTTGGTGTCATTTAACCGACCTCGTATCTCTCACCGTTAAAAAGATACACATGGTGAGCATGGTAAGTGGGACACACTGTATAAATAGTGTAGGTAATTTCCTAATTTCAAATCGGTCATATGAATTTTATTTGCAATTGCAGATAACAGTTGCCTTGGATGGTAAAGAAGAAAAAGTCATTACCTACGCCAACGTATTCGATAATGAATGTTACAATGTGATAAGTAATGCAAGTCCATCAATAAATCAAATATCATTAGCAACTCGAGTTTGTGTGCGACACAACCAGAACATGTTCGTCGAGGGTGTAGTTTTCCGTATTCTAGAAGGGCAACCCATACGTTTCGTCGTCGCAGTCCTGGGTGAAAATTCCGTAGAGGTGACGGTTAAGCGGGCCGACTTGAGACTACTGCGTCCACCATGGTGGGACGAACTAGAGAACATAGAACCCGTCATGGAAACTGTGACTCAACCCTCTACCATGGACTACTACAGGCCGAATCAGGCGTCACCCACCCAGCTCCACACCCCCGTGTCCGTATGCACACCCCTGTCGAATGGAAGGCACTATGATGAGTTTTGCGAGAGCGAAGACGAGTTGAGGCAGGACAACATAACGTTCAGCTCGGAAGTGGACGCAAAGCTCTCTGGGAGCAGCAAGAGAAGCAGCATGCACAGCAGAGGCAGCTCCTCCAGTAGTATCACGCTACGGTCTCAGCCTACCACGCCTAGAAGCCAGGCCGCGACTCCTCACAAGTACAAGAAAGGCGACGTGGTGGCGAATCCGAACGGCATCAGGAAAAAGTTCAACGGGAAACAGTGGAGAAGGCTGTGCTCCAAGGACGGTTGTACCAAGGAGAGCCAACGCAGGGGGTACTGCTCGAGGCATCTCAGTTTGAAAGGTAACAGTCTTCGTAGCGGACATTTCCCTAGGTCCAATAGCAAGGGGGATGGTGAGGATACTTCGAGGGATTCGGAAACTTCGCCGAATTGCGGGGACCGTAGAGTGGCCGGCCGGTTCGATCAAGAAGAAACTGATGCTGCAAACATGTTGGGTGAGTCCCATTTTATTTCAGCGACTGGCGAACATGGTAAAACTGCATTTAGCATGCGATGGTTTTTTTTCCAATTTTTTTTTTGGTACTTACGTATTTTTGTCTGAAAAACACGGATTTGATAATGAAAATGCAAAATATATATGCACATATCATTCTGAATATTTAACAGAAAACAACTACTTTCCTGGCTATTTGCCACGTTGCACATTCAAAAGTTTAACATGAAAATAAAAATACACTGAAATTGAGAATTGACACTCTCTCTCAAATCGGATAAATAATTTGTACAGTCAAATACAAAGAACATGTCGCGGTTGGATGGTGTTAGCGCTCTTATTCCAGGAGTGACTAGAATGTACGACATTTCATTTGCACCCGACTGTACAATGATATAAACGTGTAACTTACCAATATCAGTATTGAAATGAAAATTGAAATGTATAGGAGAAGTATACTTGTATAAACTCTGATCTTGATGAGCTTGAAACTTCCAAAAATCATTTGTATCAGTGATATGGGAATATTATCTCTCGCAAACTGGTTATATGACTATACCAGTGGACTCATTTCGGATATCAAACCCTCCTCAGTAACCTGGAGTCCAGTCATTCTTCATGAAATACACAATTTCCATCTCTCTGAAATATAACTAAAACTATAAGGAACTGACATCTGAGAATTATTATTTGTTGACATTCAACTCCTATCATCTGGGTCTTCACGGCTTCATAGGAACTCCACGGCTTCATAGGAACTCCACGGCTTCATAGGAACTCCACGGCTTCATCGGAACTCCATGAACATTATGAGTATTCACTTCATGTATTTCATGAGTCTTCACTTGACGAATTTCATCGGGACCTGATCGAGACCTAACGAACTTTTTCTGGTGATTTTTCAGCTACTACAACAGATTTCTTTATTTCATCATCAATACTTTCAAAATGTGTCTATACCTCATAGGGATTTTATCGGGATATTATTGTAGACTTCAGGAGTTCGTAAATACCAATGAATACTATCGACTCATCGTATTCCATCGAGGTTTCACGTAATACATAGGGACTTGGCGAACTTCTTCCGGCCTAGATATCAGGAATTATCTTGTATATTTCAAATCAAGTTGTAAAAGCCTGCCAATTCAACTATTCAAAATTTAGATTGACCTTTACGAGCTTCTCCTACAAATATATTATCAGGTGAATGATCTCATCATTCTGAGAACCATCATTGCTCTCTACAACTTTTACATTCTGCTTGATATTTTGATGAAAAACCAAAAACTTGAAAAGTATACAGGGTGTTAATTAATTGAGTGCCGATAATGCAAGTTGTGAATCCTCGGGTAATTTTAAGAAGAAAAGTTCGAATCAATGCTTGTCTTAATAGTTTGCGAGAGATAATATTCAAATAGGCACTAATAGTTTAGGGGTACCTGAAAGTACGAGACTATATTCAAACATAACAATATTTATTGAAGCATGAAACATTACAGGTAGCGATAACAAATATGAATAAACAACAATTAATATAAAGAACTAATAACAACTTACATTATAATGACCATTACGACGAGTTCTTCTCATGTCAAGAGTAGCCCCAGACCAGACTAACTTCGGAACCTTCACATCCAATATTTATATACATCTTTTTATTAGACTTGCACGTTTCTCATGAGAATTCCTTGGTCAGTTTTCAAAGTTCAATGTCAACGGATGATTTGATTAACTTGTATGTTCTACTCGTAACAATATGTCCGAAACCTCTTAGTTTTTGAGCTACAGGGTGTTGACATTTTAGAAAAAAAGTGAGTTTCTAATCATAATTTACTATCACTCTTAGATGTTTTTATGAAATTTTGTACACACCTTTTCATCATTAAGGAGGATTGTTCGACTTGAGAGATATTTCAAAATTTTCACGTAAAAAAAGTAGAACAAAATTTTTTTTTGCGATTTTTTTTTTTGAGTTTTTTGTATTTTGTAAAAATCACCCCAAGAGATAAGAAAAAGGCCTGATATTGAATGTTTTGATTAAAACATGGTTTAGGACATATGTTGGTATAAACTTTTCTCCTCAAAATCACCCGAGGATGCTCACCTTGTATTATAGGTACTCAATTAATGAACCCCCTGTATTATTAGTCGTTGTATAGGATAGCCATATTATTCTCTACGTTTTCATTTCAATAAAATCATTGACACAAGCAAAAAAAATAGAAAATACGTAAGACAACTACAATTATTTTTATTCGTATGATTGATTGAACTAAAATCCAATATGCTACATTTAGCAAATTTCCAAAACACGACAGTAATCAATGTGTTTCAGTGTCATTAGGCAGTTCAAGGTCAGCCACGCCAGCTTTCTCGCCAAACGGACATGGATCTTCCCCTCATACAATGCAATCTCCCTTAACAGTAGGTTCCAGACAGAACGTCTTCATGCCAATTCCCAGCAACCATTCCCATGGGATGCAGAAGAGGAGTTCCCCAGACCCACCTGGGTATAACCCAACTTATCACCAACAAGTCATCAGGTACAGTTGTTTGTATTGAGCTTGCAGATTTGCCAAACATGTTGATGCAAAGTGTAGTACCATCTTCAAAAATCTAACAATATATAATCTACTAGATCCGACCTTGTCTCACCGATATTTACAAAGCATTTAAAGTCACGTAAAAAAGAGAAAGGACCATCGGTATAGCTGCATCTGCAACAAAAACAATAGTATATTACATAACTAGTGGGGAAAGTGACATATTTCGCACGAGTGATATTTAGCATGACGCCGCACAGCATAGCCACACCGGTGTACACCGCATTGACAGCAATGGGGTTATGTCTTGCAGATTATGACAAAATGACAAATAAAACATATACAATTAAGAGTCCTCATTGGGCAAAATTCAAACTAACGAAAATGAATGTATACATATACAATGACAGTAAGTATTAAAATATGATGATGCCATATCATAATCATCCATACATTATACAGGGTGAGTCATCAGTGTGGCAAAGTGAGATAACGGCTTTACTGTTTGAGATAGATGAACGCAAATTTCAGAGATGATCTAGGATCATGAACAGCAGATTTCCAAATTATTTCTCTTTATACAGGGTGACTCAGAAATGCGTGGCGTATCAAAGTTATACTTTTTCTTATGGGAAACCCTGTATTTCATTGAATTTTCGCATTCTCCTTTTTGAGCTGATTTCATCAATGCATCACACTTGAGGTCTAGCAAACAAATACAGGGTGGTTCAAAATTCAGCATTCTGATCACCCTTGTATTTGTTCCAATTTAATGTCAGTGGATAGTAAATCAAAAGTTGGGATAGGGACATGGAAGCCGTTTTGACCAGTAATGAATAGTTTCGACGCGAAAAAAATCCTTAAGTTGAAAAATCTCGATTTTGAACACCCTATATCTCTGTAATCATTCTCGCTAGACAGCAGCTCACAAAGGAGAATGCGAAAATGCAATGAAATACAGGGTGCCCCATAAGAAAAAGTATAACTTTGATACGTCACGCATTTCTGAGTCACCCTGTATAAAGCGAAATAATTTGTAAACGTGCCGCTTAGGATCCTAGTTCATCTCTGGAATTTTTGTTCATCTATCTGAAACAGTAAAGCCGTTATCTCACTTTGCCACACTAATGACTCACCCTGTATAGACCGAACAAAGATCACGTGAGCATGTGGGAATATTGCCACACTGTTTGTTTTCATATTTTTATGTCAACTGCCTATTTCCCACACCCCTGATCAAAATTTCGGGAAATTCTCAACATTTCCAAATCGGACTAGAAAAGTAATATACAAGGTGGGCGTTTCAAATCGAAACAGAGGCTCTGTAGGTCGCCAAATCCTGATTATGAAAAAACTTTGAAACACGTCAACTACATTTTCGAGGGGGACATCGTCCTAAAGGCACGACATTGAAACACAGCCTCACTTTTCCTATATGTTTACAAGTGATTGAAATAGTTTTTCAAAATTATTTTGGCATACGAATCGTATTTTTCGGCTATTCATTAATTCGCGCATGCCATCACATTGTGGTGTTGTACAATGCACAAAAACTGCAGCGGAAAACGAAGGAATCCGGCTGGTACATTATGATTTAAAAGTAAGTACCTACTATAGTCACTCACATATAGTTTTCATTTTTGAAATTTGGTAATTTTTCTGATATCTCATCGGAATTCCTTCTGCAATTGGAGCTAATAGAAATACTCGTGAAATTTCTAAAATAATGCAAGAAGATTGGATTCATGCAATCAAACGGGAGGACTGGTCTGACATGCTGACGAAATATGATCATGTGTGTTGTAGACATTTTCAATCTATTAGCAGTATTAGCTTGTATTGCAGAAGTGGCAGAAGGAATTTTAACAAGGAATGACAACATTTAATAATGAAAACTATGTGAGATTACTATTTACCTGAAAAATCATATTCGCTCGCTGCATTTTTTTCATTTTTTGTGCATTGAACAACAGCACAATGCGAATGCATGCTTGAATTAATGAGTAGCGCAAAAAACACTATTCAAATGCGATAATATTGTGAAAAACTATTTCAATCCTTTGATTCCTCTGTAAACAAATAAAAAAAGTGAGGTTGTGTTTCAATAATCCACAGAAGAGTAAGGCTGAGTTCCAATATGTTACCTCCAGGGTCAGTCATCGTGCACGCGAACTATATAGAGCCGAAAATTTATAACACTACCAAACAAACTCAAAGGTAAACAAACAACAACAAAATCAAAAAAAATATATCATCTTGGATTTTGAAAAACAAACCTGGCTATTAGTTTGACATATATTGTATATATTCAGATTATATATATTAGTTCCATATCAGTCCAGATATTAGTATATATGTGTTGTAAATATGATTTAATAATGACTGGTGCACACACAAGCTTTTGAAGCTCATTTTGTGCCTAAAAAAATGTATGTAAACCATATGACTGTTCATGGCTATATTAAATAAATACTCAAATACTCAGTTTTGAGCCAGCTCAATGAATCAAAATCGATGTGTAGGTTGGAGGTTTTTATTAACATTTTTTCAATACAGGCCGGAGGCTAGACCTGTTCAAGGAGTAACTGGTGTTATAAGGGTGTCTCCCAACCCTAGGCAGTGGCTAGACAACATGCCAGAGCAACGGACAGTGATTCTGCAAAATGCCCTAGCTAGTCCACCAAGTCAACCTGTAGAATCAGAAAACAACTCTATGCCTACAAGTGAGAAACTAGTACGAAAAATTCCCATCATTATTACTCAATTTGGAATACTTGCAGGAACTGTTTATTGTGTAGTACCACCGACTCATGAGAAGAGTATAGTGATAGTGAAATCGGAGATTGAAAATGATCTGAAAGAACCAAAATCTTACCAAAGACAGGTAAATATTAGAGACAATAATATGATACTTCTGTGCAATCAGAGAAATAGTATGTATGAGAGTTCGTCAGGGCATTTAGAAGGTTATTCATTGGATATTCATTGGATATTTGGAAATCACCTTGGAAAGATATTTAATACTCAGCATTTCCCGTTACCCATAAAGGCTTGAAAAGTTGAACACATCTTTCCTTAGAATTACTACATATGTATATTTTTTCAGGTTATTCAGAGTGATCATCTGCATCCGGCCCAGTTAATAAGAGTTACACCAAATAATAACATGAATAATATAAACAGTATAAGTAACATAAGTAATATACATTCACATTCCACTGGCCAGGGATTGATAACACCAAACTCCATAGGTAGTGGCTTACCAGTTATTGTTAATCCAACACAATTGGTACCAGTGCTGCCGGCTGCTTCCCAGTCTGTTGTGAAGCGAGTCATTCCGACTTCAACTGTTCAACAGACCATTCCACCACCTGTTATTGTTAAAACAGAACAAGGTATGTGAAGATATAGCCGATTTAATTTGATGATAATGGAATATACTGGATGCGATTCAAATGAGAACTCCTTTAGATATTTGTTGTTCTGAAGTCTTCAGAATAAAATGGGAAACATGGAAAACATGTCCACGTTTTTTTGATCAATGGAAAAAGTAATACCTACTATAGCTGTGTAGCATACATGATAACATGAAAAAGTTTAATATGTAGTTAATATGCTCTTGAAATTTCAAGGGTCAATCAATCTTGTTTGGGGCAAGAAAGTGAAATCAACTAATACTGTTTCACAGATATTCATCCATTATAAAAATCACCTCATCAATTGGATATGAAAATAAAAAATTAATATTTCCCCATCGGTGTCATGCATTTGGGGAGCGTTATGTGAGAATACCGTGAGAATTTTCAGTAAAGCCGTCTAGAACCACGATAACGTGGATCTTGTTTTCAAATTACTCCACGGAAATGCGTCAACGTTTTGCGTGGAGCATTCCCTTATCCATGCTCATTTCGCGTAGAGCATTCCGTTATGATCTCAATCCACGCTGATCTCGCATGGATCATTCCCTTAAGATTAATCAACTTTATTTCGCGTAGACGACTCCCTTATGATCAATCCATGGTAGTTTTACGTGAAAGATTAATCCATGCTAACATCATATATTTTTTGTTATGAACATGCTGAAGTATACAAGCTGACTGACAAAAAATGCCCCAGGTGATGTAGCAAATGGAATGACTTATCAGTTGATACAAGGTGGCACCAACAGCTTTTTTCCCATTTCAACTCTAACCAAAGTGACTGTCAACTTTTTCATTTCAAATGGCACATCCTAGGCATCTCTGGCGCATCTTACATGTTTTAATATTTTTCTGATAGATATATTTTTTCAATACAATCTATAACAAGTTGACTTTTGCGCATAATTTGTTGAAAAAAGTGGATACTCCGCCGATTATGAATTGTTCTTTCCATTACATTTTTCATTGGTCCTGAAACCCTTTAAAAAATAGTTCAAGATAGCGCTCAGTCGCCATTTCAAAACTTCAAGCTTTAATTTTTCCATAAAAAAGTAGGCTTTCATCTCCTATTTGAGCCCTCCAAATTTCGTTGAGATATACAGACTGGCCCATCAGATCACATTCAGAGGCTGAAAAATCCAGAATCCATATAAGCGATCATGAAAGTGACGTCAGTTCTTATGCTGTTTCATTATTGGTCAGATGATCTTTTATTCCCACTCATGAAGCAAGATTGTCAAGTCGCCTATTATAATGAGGTTATTAAAAAGTTGTTAGAGCCCTGTCGTTGAATAAAACTATATCCAAATTAAATATTTCATTCAACCTAACACGAGGAAGCCATGATATAGTTATTAATTTGTGACTTTTTAGAGCAACCAGCTTGTTTAAATATTTCTTACACTCCCATAATACGAAATATCTATTGAGAAGGAACATTCTCAGATATATTTATGAACACAAAAAAATTATATAATAAATATAATATAATTCTGAATATTCAACAGAAAACAACTACTTTCCTGGCTATTTGCCACGTCGAACATTGAATTATATCTGTGTTCAATAGATGTAATTCAATATTCGTCGTGGCATATAGTCAGGAAAGTAGTTGTTTTCTGTTGAATAAACCGAGAAATAATTAATATTTTTATCACATGGAAATGCGAATTCTCAATGTATTTCTTTATATATATATATATATATATATATATCCAGTTTTTTGTGTTCATAAATATATCTGAGAATGTTCCTTTTCAATAGATATTTCGTATTGTGGGGTCGGCTCACGGAACTACAGTGTGGAGACTTTGACTGGAATAAATTCGATAGCGGGGAGGTGAATGTTTTCTTTAAAAATGCCCGACATAAGTCAACGATTTAATGTATCCACCTACCTTTTGCAAGCAATATCGAGAATATATCCCTCCAGGAGTAGCTGAAACCACCTTCAACATGTTTTTTCCAAATGTAACCATATGGCTTGTGACCCCTCATTGGGAAGCTGGTGGAAAGAGGAATCCAGCGTACTAGTCAAATGTTATTTAAAAATTCTTTTTTTTGCGGTATCAATCGCTTGAAAGGTATGTTGAGCAATTAATGGTAATTGTTTGCCACAACTGCTATCTGCTATTGTATTCCAGTGTTTTTATGGAGCCGCAAAAAGAAACTTGGATTTTTTGCAGTATTCACAGTTTGAAACGAAGTCTTATTGCAAACTGATGAAAATGCCCTATATTACTGTCAGTAAATGTCGAAGTTTTAATGAAAATACCTTGAAAATATATTGAACTTCTAAACTATATTTTGATTTTATGCTCACCCCAAACGTACTGCAAACTGAAATATGATCAGTGCGCTGGATTCCTCTTTCAACCAGATTCGTGATTAGGTTTTTCTCAATCCAGAATTTCTTTTCACGTCCTGTATGATGAATGTCAATTTATCATACATCCAAAAAACGAAATATCTAACTATCGAAAACACGGTCGATCCGATCGACTTCCTTGCCGCAGCTGCGCCGCACTCTACCCCCAAGGACCCTGTCATTCAGCCCAGCCCCGCCCAGCCTGCCGTTCCTCCGCCCCCAGTCCCCGCCTCCTGCGCCCCGAGACCCGCCCCCTGCCGGCCGGCCTTCGTCGTGCCGTGGCATGCGATCGTGCCGCTGCTGGCGTCGGGCCCCGCCTCCCCTCCTCTTGTGGGCGGAGCGGCGGGGTCGGAGGAGGAGGAGGTGGAGGCGGAGGCCGTGGCGGGGCCCGCCGAAGAGGACGACGACGTGTTCGAGGCGGAGGCCGAAGCGGGCGTTGAGAGCGCCGGCGCGGGCAAGCGCCGGAGCCAGTCGCTGAGCGCGTTGCCGAGCGGCAGCAAGGAGGGTGGCAAGGTAAGGTTGGGAGTTTCGGGAGTTGGCCGATTCTAGAGTCCCTTGATGGAAATTGACGTTAAAGTCATCTTAACAGGGTACGGACAGATCCTCGTCTCCTCTCACTCTGAAGTGTTTGTGAAACAGTTATATAGTTCCATCCTTATTCAATTCTGGGCATGAACACTAGATTTTTGGCATTTGTTGTTTTTTAGGTTATATTGAGGTCATTGGCGTATCATACGTAATTTCCATGTGGAATTTCTGATTCAACTATACTGAGATATAGTTGAACAATCCTCTACTTTTAGAGCACAATCTTTGCGAGGTAGGGGACATATAATTTGTACTAAAAGCTTTATATATTTCACCAAAAGAGACTGTTCTTAGACTGTATACCAGGGTTGACTGAATTGACTGAATGAATTCTGATTTCAAGCTGAGCAGTAGTTTAACTATGAGCTGAATGAGCTGAGACTTTTGATTGAGAAATGGTGAAAACCTCGATGTGGGTATCTGAACTACTGTACCCATGTCATGTGTGCTAAATATATTTTCGGAAATCCAACTGGGAAAAAAATTTATGGAGGGACTAATTCTAGGAAGTCTCTAGGCATCTTAGACGAAAAGTAGGCTTATAAAAAGTAATACGTGAAATTGCAGGAAAATGAAGAATAGAGTATACTTTACCCCCATGTTAAACATATGATTTTTCCGTCTCCCTTGAATAAAAAGTCATTTCCAAATAATTTATTGATGAAAGTAGATGAAAGTAACAAAGAAGTAGGTATATAGTATAACTTATGGGCACGTTATTTTCACTCTTGTATCCTAAATATTTTCAATTTGTGGTAGAGTACTAATTATATAAACTAATGTTAAAAGTGCAGTTTTGAGCAGTGGTTATTTGAATACCACTAGAAGTGAGATCTGAGACCAATGCAGTTTTCGTGATATTTTCATTAAAACTACAGTGACCCACAGTTTGGTTCGAAATATTTTACTATTTTGTGAGAGATTGCTGCACATACCCTTCAGCGATATTCATAGACTTCCAAGCAAGAATGACTCCTCCAGAATTTGCAAGTGAACTTGTCGAGGTTCTTCTGAAACTATGCCCGGTATAATTTATGAATTTTAGCAATAGAATTCTTTCCAACCATTTGGTATATACATTTTCCTGCTCTATAGTAGACAAATAAACGTCTATGGTATATTTACTATTAAATACCATATGACTTCACTTTCACTTTTTCTCCCGAGGGAGGATGAGTACGACGTTGCTCCCTACATTGAGACAAGGAAATGTTCACTATGGATAGAGGTAGGCGGAAAAAGTTTTTTCCGCACTAGTGCATCTAAAAATTTATAGGGTGATAAGCACAATGAAAAAGTATACGTGATTTTTTATCATTTTTACCTCGCATATTTTGCTCAATTTACCGATTTTCCTGTTCGGTCTCTTCATGTTAACTTTCCATGTTTTGAGTTTATCTTCATCTGTTGGAAAGCTTACAAATTGATATTTGCCATCTAACTGATTGGCACGGCATTACATTTTCTACTTCTTTTCAGTTAGGCTATTCATAAAAGCGTGTTTCTTTAGTTTTTCAAAATATCAAAATTCACAGCTAACATCTATAAAGTATAGTCAGATGCAAAGAAGATGTCGCGGTTGAATGGTGTTAGCGCTCTTATTGCAATGAGCGACATATTCATTGCATCTGTCTACATTTGGAAATTATTTTGAAAAAAAACTCAAGAAGTCTATGATTAGCATTCAATTATTGAGAATATTCAATTTTTTCCACCAGAGAGCAAATTTTTTAGACATCATTCCACAGTAATGAACCTTTAGCTAATATGAAGTCAAAATATTCAATACATACAAGTAAACTAATCCCAAATTGAATAAGTATCTGTATATTTGTCGTTCCATTTTAGAACAAAGAACGTATACGAAGACCAATGAATGCCTTCATGATATTTTCTAAAAGGCACAGAGGTCTAGTCCATCAGAGACACCCGAACCAGGACAATAGGACGGTGTCTAAGATTTTGGGTGAATGGTGGTACGCTTTGGGCGCGACCGAGAAGCAGAAGTACCATGAGTTAGCTTCTGAAGTGAAAGAAGCGCATTTTAAAGCTCACCCCGAATGGAAATGGTAATACATCTTGTTTAAATGAGGACCTGAACCATTTTCGGAATTATCTCTCCATCAGCTTTTTTATTCATTTTGTCAACCTTTTGTCAAACAATCCACGCCTAACTTTAGTTTTTCGAATTGCACACCATGGACAATACCAGTTTCTGTTCACATTTTTTGCACAGAGTGTTACATTTTGCTCTATCTTATTGGGGAACAAATTTTAAACAATCCAAAATTTTCCAGTTGCAAAAACCAAGAAAATATATTAGACATTTTCAACACTGCAATGGATTTGTACTAATCTCAAAAATACCGTAATGTATTTCAATCAATACAGATCACAATTTTTTGAGTTACTGTGTAAAGAAAAGTGCACAAAATGGCCAGTGCTGTAACTTCTGAAACGTATATTTTTCCATTTTTGCATTCAATTCGGAATTAGTTTCTCCTGATGAAAATGTCATAGGAAACATTTTTTTCAATTGGTTTATCTTGATGTTAAGTTGGTTAAGGTGATCAACAACTAGGATTATGTAATGATATTTATTGGATTCAGCAATTCTATATTATTTTTTATGCTACTGAAAATAATGAAGATTGACGTGGAGTTCATGTTGTTGTTTTTTTCATCTCATACAAATCAAAAGTCGCGGTCGCTTCCGAGTGTTCAGAAGTTGAAGTACTGGTCGTTTTTGTGCATTTCTCTGTATACTAAGTCATTTTTCCTTTTAACTTGAACCCCCTAGTATCTCAAAAATAAAACGGCTTATATCTGTGTCAACTTTTCTTCTTGAAGTATGAATTTGAGCACCCTGTATAAAAAAACGAAATGAAAAAGACGTGTATTCTTGCAAATTTTGTAATTGTGAATACAGCCGGCATGCCACATGAATGGCAAATCATTTAATAAAATGTGTAAAATCAAATAATACTGGAAGAAGAAAAACATAGGGCAAGGGCATACACTTTGTCTAAGATAAAGATATGGATGAACGTCGAAGGTCAAAATTCAACGCAGCACCTACTTAAAAAGTGGATCATTACCTTATGAAGCATTAGGAGAATTTTAAGCATATTCAGCAATTTGAAAATATTGAGCATTTTCCAAAAGAACCGCGAGTAGTGAGTTTTTGAATACTTTACTACACCACAAACATAAATTCCCGATTTTTTTCGTTCATACTCGTTCATGCTCGATCGTACTCAGGGAACGATCTCCAAAAATATTTTCTCGAGAATTTCACACTAGAAATAAGTAATTTTCGAATTTCCGTCCATGGTTCTGGTCCTAGTTTGGAAATGCCTGCACCATCCGAATGCCGAATTTGTTCAAGGTGCAACAAGGATAGAAGAAAATCGTCTACCGGTTCGGGACGCAGTAAGCTGAGTTCGACTGGTGACAGCGGGGACCCAGGAGACATGCCGATGAGTCCTCGCATCCATTCTCCGCCCCACACGATACAGCAAGCGAGACTGCTGCAGGAACCCGTCGATAACGCAGGGGATGTCTCTGACGACGACCAGATGGTGATATGCGAAGACCCGGTGACCGAAATAGATCTTAAATGCAAGGAAAAAGTGACCGACTCGGACTCAGAATCTCAGAGCGATTTGGATTCGTCTTTGGAAAATCGGGTCTATCAGCGATTCAGTCCAGTTACGAGCAATAACTGCGGAGATGTGACTTGTAGACCTAAACCTATAAAAGCGAGAATGCCATCGACGGAAACTCCTAAGTATAGTCCGGCGGCTACTTCTACTGCTCTGAGTTTCCATTACTCGCCTGTCAATCCGTCTGGCATAACGGGTTTCCAGCCGACAGGGGGCGCTTTCAAAACGATGCCGGCTTCGCCGAAAGTTAAGAATGAACATAAGAACGAGGCGCACGATAATCACGAAAACTGGTCAGGTACATCAAACATGAATAAATCGAACGATGTATCACAATGGGTCAATTCATCCGCCATCCAAACAAGCACAGTTTCAAGCAAAACTAACCCCACATTAGCCATACTAAAGCCGCATATTAAACAAAATGTATTTCAATTGAGCGAGGGCATTAACCAGAATTACCAATCACAACCTCTGACGGTTGTAATCGGTAGTCAGTCGGCCATTTGCCTGTCGAACGAGTCCGAACGTTCGCAACCTTTTGTTGTTGTAGCTTCGACAGCATCGGACATTCCGGTCCAGCTTTACATGCAACCATCCTTCGTATCTGATCCCAATGGCCGGAGTTTGTCTTTGCAAGGTCTTCAGCTGTTGTCGAAACCGAACCATACACAGTCTGTCATCGTCACGCAAGCTCAGAACAAGATGGGCGTTTCTCAGCAAGAGTATATGGATAATAGCGTCGTTACAAAAACCTATTCTAACGTGTCTGGTGAGTACAACTCAAAGCAGGGTGTTTCCTCTGTTTAACTTTTCGTTTTTTTTTGTGCTGTTTGGTCACATCAGTGTAAAATCTATCAAAACAAACCGCTCAGAAGTTATTACCGTCTAGTTGGGCGACGTGTTATTTTCTTTCTATCGTGAATAGTATATGACAGTCATTTGAAGATTCTTGATATTTGATTCTATACAGTACCCCTGTCAGTGTCGCCAATTTAACATTGTCAAGTCAAGAGTTAGACATTTCCTATTCTCAGATGTCATTTGTCAAATATGAATTAAATCGGCGAAACTGTTGAAATTATTGTATTTCTATAAAATTCGAAACTGTTGAATTGTTAATAAAATTAGAGTGCAAAAGCAACTTCTGAAACCTTCGTATGACACTCAATTTGACAGTAATTTCTGCCAATGAATAACACGAAATGTCTAACTTTTGCCAAAAAATGAAATATGGTCAATTGAGTTTGAGGTCTAAGAGGATACTATTAACATTTATCTCTAAACGCCAAATATAACATAAATAAAAGTGCGACTTTCGTAGGCGCAATTCTGTTAGAAGTCGTACAACAAATTTCATTCTTCTCATTTTTTTCAAAATGTTCTTGAAATTCATGAAATGTCGAGTTGACCGTTCAAATTAAACAAAACAATATGAATAAATGAAACTTACTGTAATAATGTGAGCAGTCAAATAACTTGAAGTATAGTTCTTGACAGCTCCCAAATGTATTGCCAATTCGTGATTATCTATTTCTCAGGAATGCTGCATACTCCTGAAAATAAAGAAATAAAAACTGACAAGGAAGTTAAATCTCCAGCGCTGTCAGATATGTTGCCACCAAGCTCATCTGACCCTTTGCAATTGCCTGAACAACCAAATCAGGAGTTCAAATTGGCTCCTACTCCTGCCCAATTGGGCAAAGCACCTTTACAAAGAAGACAATCTATGGGTGAGTCAAATCGGACAGAAATGTGTATTCTACCCCTGAATATTCATATCTCTTGGGTGATGTTTTCATCTGTCATAGTGATATATTTCAATATGGTCAAAATACTCTTATCGCGCAAGAGATTAGGATATACAGGGGTGAGGTTTATTGTGTGGAGGCACAAATGATTTTCGTTTTATTTTCAGCTGCATTCGCTAACACATCACCACATTCATCTCAAGAAAATTCGCCCTTGTTAGTACCTATGACATTGCCAGACGACATTAACTTAGTGTCACCTTCGACAAAGAGAAGTTTCTTTAAAAGAAATATCGAAGATGGAATGGATAGGTATAGAAGACTTACAGGGTGATTACATTTTATAATGTGCAAAATGAAAGTATGAATAGATTGGCATGCTAGTAAGCCATAATGCTTTCCAAATTCTTATTTGGTAAACCAATGGTTCCAGCTACTAGAACTGTAAACGTAAATAACTTCAAATACAGGCCATAATGATCTTTCCGTTACTACGGAAGTCTTTGAAAAAGTTAGGGACAGGTCGATTTCATTGTCTGAAGAATAAAAAAATGTTCAGGTTATTCATACTAGAGAAATAAACTGTCATTTTCTGTAAATGGGACATAACAAATTCGAAGAAGATATTTTTGAATGTCACAGAAATATCAACCTTTTAAAAGAAATATCTTGTCACTCATTGGAAACATGACAGTTTGTCCCTTACATACCTAATAACAATTTATAGCTAACAAAATTGACCAGTTGATGTTGAGAATATGTATTTAAAACATTGCAGGATAGTGGACCCCACTTAAAAACGGGGTTCCAGAGTTTTTGTTCCACTTCAATTTTATCGTGAAATCATAACGTGGTCCCAAATCTTCTCTGTGGTAAATATCCGACATTCACCACAAAAATTATCAAACAAAAGATCATATATTGATGGGTTAGTTTTTCTGAAATTACATTTTTTTAACAGCTTCAGGGTTAGGGAATTTCCATTGCACCGTAGCTATGTTATCTTCTAAATTACCTTCTACCTACCCATTAATATTTTATTCGAACCTTGGCGCCCTTGAAGTGGTTCAGAGTCCACTATAAGCTTTAGGTCCCGCTCTTCCTGACCCCGCACTAGTTTCGACTAAGGAGTTGGTTCCCACCTTCGAAGTAGCGATGTACAAATTTTACAAGATCTGCTCGTACTTTCATTTTCCGCATTATTAATCGATTCGGCCATGCCGACCATCCGATGTCTACGTTATATTTTCCAGGGTACTGGAGCAAGTCAACTTCGAAAGAAAGTTCACAGCTCTGCCACAATTCCGGCCGGAGGACGGCCAATCGCCTAGCGCCATTTCCGTGCCGAGTCCGGGCATGTTCAATTACAGCAAGAAGCGACCCCCTCTCACTGCCACTCACAGATCTTCAGTCGATGAAGATTCCGAAGCTGAGACCCCACAGAGTGTTCCCAAATCGGCGACCTCGGCGAAACCGATCGTTATCGGAAATCAGTTTTTCGGACCCGATTTCGATAATGTTAGAGGTGAGCTTCCACAATCAACAGTTGAACTACGATACTATTCTCAGACCAATAAAAAACATGGAATGGCCATCCTTGTTTTCAACGCATTACAGATGTTTGTCCCAAAGGCCACTTGGGCTTCTAATAGATAATTTTTGTAGAACATGTAGTATGACACTATCGCGTTTTCCATAATATTTCGAGTCAGCCAAAACATTGATTATCCATTGGATGTTTGATAGTACATCAAACATTTTCGAACCTAATTGTGAATTCGCTAGAAAATCATAATGCAAAAAAAACATAGAAATATGTTTCCAAAAAATTAAACATTGTTGAGGTTTTCTCAAAAATAGTAAAGACAGGAGTATACATACTGAATTGTGGATTCAGGGTGTTTCCAAATAAGTGTGAAAGTGCCTTGCCGTATTCCATGAAAAAAGTTCACATAAACATGTGTCCTAAATTGTTGTTTGATTATTTCACTTGATGAAGCTACGGTGTCAGCGTATCTTTACCAATTTTGTGGAATGTGAAGTTTTTCATATTGTGTGTTAGGTTTGCTAGTGGTGATTTATAATTACCGGTTATCATCTTTAGTATGGAAGTGAGGCTTTCACTCACAAAATAATTGAGGTTCTTACTTAGGAGAAACCTTTGAAAATATCCAAATCAAATGACATTATCTAACGTTCACTTGGGAAGTGAGAAGTGAAAATCAATTACCAATCAATTTTGCGATTCGGAGAAATGTCTTGAATTCGCATAAACATGAATATTGAACATACCTCAATATGAATCAGTCAGAATGAAATAATTCGAAGATGTTGCGTTTTTCCGATCTCAATGAAATGGGAGAAGGCACTTCCCCGCGTACTCCTCGCACGCTGGGCACATCCAGAGACTGAAAAGGGCCATAGCAAAACATTGGAGCAACGCAATCAATTAGTCATGCAACTGTTCCAAGAGCATTTCCTCTTCCCGTCCTCCTGAGCGACCTCGACCTTCCAAGCGCAAGACCCATATTCCTAAATGTGTATTATTGCCCTTATTCAAAATGACCTTCTACTTCCTAAGTGCATTCGTTCTTGTAATAATAAATTTGGTAGAGTCCCCGCGTTCAATACAGGCTAACCATCTTTGCCTTCAATGCATCTTCAATGTCCTTGTATAGAACTGAGCAAAATCATTGAACAATATGAATCAATCGGAATGAAATAATTTCAAGATGTTGCGTTTCTAGCCGAACTCAATGAAATGGAAGAAGGCACTTCTCCGCGTACCCCTCGCACGCCGGGCACATCCAGAGACTCTGAAAAGGGCCATCGCAAAACATTGGAGCAACGCCGTCAATTAGTCATGCAACTGTTCCAAGAGCAGTCCCTCTTCCCGTCTTCTCAAGCGACCTCGACCTTCCAAGCGCAACACGCAGATGTGTTCCCCAATAAGGCGAGCTTGCAATTGAAGATCCGCGAGGTGAGACAGAAAATGATGGCGCAGAGCACCCTTACGCCATCTAGCGCCAGCAGCCCGGTCACTCCGGCTGAGCCAGTTAAAGTCTCGTCAAATAGTTAGCTAGTATTGTGCAATAGCGTGTCTTCCTTCTCATATGTTATTGTCAGATTGACTGAAAACAGGAGTTAGTTTAGGATTTAAGAAGATGAAGTTATTTATGATTTGACACAAAGTGTGGTGTAGATATCCCGAGGCACCAAAATGGTTTTAGACATGGCGGAAATATAATATAATGTGCTATGACCTATAACTCTTTTTTTCCTGACAATAGAAAAAAAAACAAAATAGTCTTACAGGACACTTTACTATCTGAAAAAATATACAAGGAGCAGCAAAAAGTGGATGAATTTTGAATTGAACACCCTGAATATTTCCCCACCATTGAATAGACCTTTTGAAGTTCAATATTCTATCGCATAAAAAGATTCATTTTTTGAAGTTCAATATTCTATTGCATAAAAAGATTCATTTTATCAAAATTTCATAGAACCTAGACAATAAAGAAAAATCCAGATTGAATGATTATTAAAAAAGTGCCTGTTACATTATGTTGTTTCTACTGTCAAAAATAAAAGAGTTACAGGTAACTGCGTAACTGCGATTGACAGACAATTTCTACTATCTTTCCGCCATGGTTTTAGATAGAAGGTTCTATGATACACAGGGTGTTTTCTCATGAAACGCAGATACTTCAAGACTGCAACACAAACTAGAAGACGAGGTGAATTCAAATTAGCCATTTTAACTTGACAGTCGTTTTTTCCACGGATTCATTTATATTGTGCACACTCATTACTGGTAGCTGATATATCCATAGATTATATGAGAAAATTCCAGATCAGGTCTAAAAATCACCCATGAATGTGAAGTTGAGAATTTTTATATTGGAATGTGGAAGTGGGTATCAATGCTTTGAAAACCATGGTACCAGTATAGTGTATTGACTATTACCGACCTTTTTTTTTTAAAAGCCCTGACCTGGATTATTGTCAACGATTTATGAATGTGTTGAATATCACATGTGAAATGGATTTTTACAATATGAATTTGAACCAATATGGAGAAAAATTGAAAATATCTTCGGCGAAACAATGATGAACACCGATGTCCTTTAGAGTATGTTAGTCTTATGACTAAATACCCTGTATAATCAATTTGTTATAGATGAATTGTTATTCAGTAGTGCAATCAATTTTCTTTATTATTGACTCACCATAGTGTTATTTTTCATGTAGAGAATCGGATGCTCTTCCAATTCCAGGTTATTCTGAAGAAGTACGAGGTTTATTGAAAATTACCAGTCTGGTTTGTTTGATATATGCTCCATGGCTATGACAAATCTTAACCTCATTTTCCCGTGGACCCAAGTAATTGTTCGGACCAAATTTCCTCAGAATTTTCATAATATTCTTCAATAGTTCTGGCAATTACTTCATATTGTAGAACGTGTTGTATTGACAAATCTGGGGACGTTATTCTAGAAGCTTTTTCTTAAATTAACAGTTAAAATGAGTCTGTCTAAAAATGGTTGGATATAATTATTATAATAATACTGTAATATAATTTTTACAGGTTGATTATACAAATCAAAAACTTGATGCATCAATAAAATCAGTATTGTTTTCTATACCAGCATTGATACTGGCATGTTTGAAAAATATGTCTTGGAAATATCTATTAATTGGTATTAAGTTTGCCTTGAGACGTTCTCTCATGCAGTCTACTAAGATGATTTTAGACTGATGATAATCTTTTTTATCATATTTTAATCAATTCACCACGTTCTTAGTTGAAAACAATATATATTATTAATTATTTACAATTATATGTTCATATTTTTACACAATTTGTTTATCATTTGAAAGCTTCTATATTCTTCATACTTTTATCAATGGTATTGATACAGTCAAATGAAAGTAAATATATGCTTCAATTACATAGGTACATGGTTTTTCCTGGACTTGGAAATGAAAATTTAATTTTAATAGGTGCCAAAATACATATATGAAATTATCATTCTATATTATGAGTTACCTGAATTTTAGTACTGGTCCTTTAAAATCGTCAATTTGGAAAAAAAATCTCACAATTTCACGAGGTATAAATTGAATAGCAACGCTTCCAATGAATTGAGATTTTTTCATTTCATAATCAATGGGAGAAATGTATGATTGATAATCACACTCACTAATTGGTTCGTCAGTAACAATGCTGTGGTAGAAATTATATTGAGCAAGAAAGATAAGTATTTTTTCTCGGCCGGTTCTTTTGTATAATTGGACGTAGTTTATTTATAAATATGTATTGATTAATATAATGGTGCAATATTTTTTTTTTGGGAATTTCAACACAGAGAATTATATCGTTTGATATGTAGTGAAGATCTTCTTGAGTACCCTTGTTTTCATGTTTTTATCATATATTTTATCTTCACGTTTCAATAAACTCGAGTCAAAATATTCAAGATCACATCGGAATACAGTATGGTGGAAATGTATGGAATAAATTCATTATCTCTAACGCATATGAATTTGAAGAAAAATCCTGAGACAGGTCGATTTTTATTTTCAAATTGACACCTCTTGATATACATACGGAGTTTGTAACGTCATCCGCTTAGTTGTGGTGACGTCATCGGATGTTTTTTTAAATGGAAACATCCCGTTTTTATTTTATTTTTCGGAAGGTATATTCATTGTCTATCCAACCATATACTAGCAGATATTTAGCAAAATAGTAATACAGGGTGAGAAAAAAATATTAATTATTTTATATTTACAACGGAAACCGTTACAATAAATGTTCGAATTGGTCACCTTCTGCCATGATACAATGTGAATGACGATACACATTGTTTCTGATGCATACAGGTCGAATTTTTCATTTATTGTAATTGTTTCCATTGTAAATATAAAATAATTAATAATTTTTGCTCACCCTGTTGGATAGATAATGAATATACCTTTCGAAAAATAAAATGAAAAGGGGATGTTTCCATTTAAAAAAATTATCGATGAGGTCATCACAACTACGCGAATGACGTTACGAACTCCGTATGTATATCAAGAGATGTCAGTTTGAAAATAAAAATCGACCTGTCTCAGGATTTTTCTTCAAATTCATATGCGTTAGAGATAATGAATTTATTCGATACATTTCCACCATACTGTATACCTTCTTTTAACAAAGTTTTTGTTTCAATCGTTTACAAGGTTTTCATCATATATTCAAGACCTTCTATACATACTTTATTATTTTACCTATTATCCTCAATGAAACTCGAAACTATCAGATAAGGGATTATGTGATTTTTTTAAATATAATTGGTAGGTTATGCTCTTAGTGGAATTTCGTGCGAATATTTATCATTTTTATCTATAAATATCCACTGGAAATGATGAAACGCTAATTTGCAATACTTTTGATGAACTCTTATGTATTATGAAGATTGGTGATGAATTATTATGAGTGGATATTTCTTTTGATTGTAACATTTCGTGGGCTTAGTATTATTTTTAGATTATTGAATGTTTATACTTATACCTCAAATTTTATCAATATCCACCTGAATAACAAATGGAAAGCTTTAATTGTCTTGTTTTATATATTTGACTGTATCTAGAATTATATTCAGTAACATAAGTCATTAGCCTTTTTTTGCTTAATTTTGATTGTACAAAACATTGTTTGTGAATCTATTCAAATCTTTTTCACCATCATTGGTGAATTAGTTGTGTTGATAATCAGAAAAGAGAATAACCCTTACATATAATATGTAAACAAATTTCCATTCAATTTTAATTAATATTTAGTTTATAGAAACTAAAGGTTGTGTTTGTTATTAATTTATGAAAGTTGTATACATAATGTCCTGTAACGATATAAGTTGAGTATTTGTCTTCGTCATTTTATTAGGCAACGTTAATGATTTAGACATATTATTGTTTTGAACTGATAATAGCAGTGAGAGTGGGTTGAAATGAATGATTGTTTGAAATATTGGGGTTAATTCGGAACTAATCAAGTCTACAGGCACTCATTCACCCATTGGATTAAAACCGAAAATAAAGGTAATTGTAAATATAAGGATTGAGGATATATTCTATATACTATGTGTAAATAGGAAATCATGTCTGAGCCAGCTGATTTTGTACAGTCTAATCACGTATATTTTGACAAAAATGAGGGGAAAATGCTAATAATGCTTTTATTAGAAACATCATTCCAGGGTTGCATAGAGAAACTGAAGTTAGTATGCCTCTTTTAATAACGAAGTTCATTCATTTTTATTAATGACAGAATATGAAGAAAGCTTATACAACCCTATTTGCTATCTATGATAACATTATTAACAGACATATGCCAAAATTTATGCGAGCACCCTGTACATTGTGAATAATTCACAATCAATTTGAACATGTTTAATGAGAGGGATTGAATGAACTATACATTTTCAGTGAATTATTTGTTTCTTCGGAAGTTTTGACTAAAAGGTGTAACCTTTGTGCTTCAAACGAAACTTTTTCATTTTTTTTTCGATGGTTGATTAATACGATTTTTGCATTGTCTTGTAGTCTGAATTTTCACCAATATTTTGAAATATTAGATGCCTGGAGTTGGTGTGCAATTGTTAAAAATTAGCATTTTATTGTCAATGATCTCGTTAGTGAATTTTTACACATGTAGTGTAAAATATGTGCACTTCACTGTTCTCTGAGCACATACCTACATTGATGTATATAACTACTTATTAGGTACTATTTGTACTATCATATTCTATTTTACTTAACATAGAATCAATGATCACGTAAAGTCACGACATGAATAAATGTATTGATTATACTCAAATTTGGGTTTTATTCATCCAACCAACCAACCATTCCTTACTGGTTCCCGTTATATGCGGTCGTACTATATTTATCGACAGTGACAATGAGGAAACAAGAAAATCGACATTTGCGTTTCAGGAGAAAAGAAATGACAACAAGTTATCATCATTCTCCTATACAACCTCGCAATATTTCCCACCATTCAAAAGACTATCGAGATATTAGTATCAGGCAGAAATAAGAAGAGGTACCTATTGAATTGTCCATCGAAAATGCAAAATCCGATTTCGAAAAGGCAAAACTCTATATTCGTGTATTAGGAGAGCATAAAATAAATCCAATTTCAGAGAGATCAAAATTTATATGCAACACAATACCTTTTTTGATTTCTGCTCTCCTGATACACGAATCTAGATTCTCATCTGAAATGGGATTCGCATTT